AACCTGAAAAGTCCTCCAGTGCTCGGTCAGGTGAACGTATAAAGGCCTCCTTGTAATACAACCCTCGGGGTCTTTGACAATCTCCGGTTGAAACGTCGAGGCTTGGGAGCTGTAAGTGTGCGTGAGACAGATGAAGAAATACGATATTTGGACGATAGCGTGGAGAGAGAGCAAGGAGATGTGGGGGAAAACCAAAACGCGGAGACAAGTGCCACACCAATCAACAAAAATGGCACCCACGCAAACGCGCATCGTGCACGTCACAATACCGAGCCCGATCGAAAATGCACAAGACGAGCGAACACGACGCAAAAAGAAGAAAGGTATGTGATCAGCATGCGGAACTATACACACCCACGAGCGTCAGGAGAAAGGAAGAACGAGAAAGGAAAGAGGACGAGGTGGCCGTGTGTCGATGCCACATCGTCATGCACACGATCAGCATGGAGGCGCCAAGGGTTCGAAGACGATAAACGATCGAGCAGAAATGAAAAGGCGCATGGAGAGGGAGGATAATAATAACCCGAAACAAAAGGAGAAAAATACTTACCATCAAGGTACCGCGCCACGAGCCCGTAAATCTGCCCAGCACATACGCCGATGCCCCACCCTTCGGACCATGACCATAGTCGGAAGAGGAATGGAGAGAGGACAAGTTATTAGGATTGGATGCGGAGGGGGAGGTGGGCGGGCCCAGTCTGCGTCTTGTCGCTCGCTTTTGCTAGCGCCGTACCCTTGAACGTCGAAGGGAAACACAGGGACGCGAGCCGCTTCTTGGTGAGGATGAGACAAAGGCGAGGACGGTCGCATGTCCCACTGAGGATGCTCTAAGCACTGCGTCTTCATCGCTTCGTTATGCTCCACGATATCTTCGGCTGTCGGGTCATTGGCACCCAAAGCTAGAGGTCAAGGGTAGAGTTAGTGAGAGGTATGCGTAGAGCCGGACGGATTGCCAACGCCGGGTGGTACGAAATAGATAGTCTACTCGAACCGAAAAACAAAATAAGAGAAACCACAAACCTTCTCAGCATCCGCACCCGCCTCCACCGCCTTCTTGATCGCCTGTTTCTCGATGGATGCGCGCACTTCGGCCATCGGCTTTGTGGATATATCGGTGATGGTGTCTATTGTACCGGAGATCTGCCAAGTGGGGAGAGGCGGAGGCGGAGAGGAGTGAGATTAATATGAGGACGATGAGGAAGAGGAGGAAGGAGTCGGGAGGGAGAAAGGTATGGACGGGGAAATGGCGAGAAGGATGGGTGGGTGGAGGTGTCAATCGAGAGAGGTGAAACGATGTGGGAGGGGGGAGGACGGAGAAAAGATGTGAAAAGACGACGAAGCACAGAAAAACGCTTAGACATAGAAAACTGTACACACCTGCGCTATAGCTGCTCCGACCGCACTAGATCACCCACAAAAAAAACAATAAATCAGCATCCACCTTTTGCACTCCCCTCCCAACCTCCCAACATCCTCCTTTCCAAAAAACGAAAAGGAAAAGGAAAAAACACTTACTTCGCGACATCAAACCACCCAGACCTACAAACTCTACTAACCCCCTTCAAAATCACCCCCTCTTGTATCAAGATCGACCCCCCACCAACGAGATAAACCGGTAGATCCGCCTGGCTCGTCTTCATCGAATCCAGAGTATTCTCCAACATCACCCTAATCCTCTCCTGCGCCTTCTCCACCAATCCCTCGATGTTCTCCGCCAGTCTCTCGCCTCCGGATGATGGAGCGTGGGGCAATAAACGGGACACTTTGCTCTTATCGACGACCCGTCCAGCCCGCCCGTGACGACAACGTCGGTAGCGGTCAGAGTCTTGCCGCCGAATACGAGTGCTTCGTCCGTTATCCGATATCCGACCGAGTCGGGCCAGATGGTGACCCCTCCGGTGGTGGAGTCTTGACGGAAGAGGGAGCCGCCGCCGAGGCCGATGCCTTGTGTTTGGGTTCAGGAAACAAAATGCGAAACGTTGGGCGATGGTGGCATAGAGGGAAGAAGGCGGGTGGGTGGACGAGAGGGGAGGGGATAAGGTAGAATGAGAGGTGTGTTGCGTTAGTGCGATGTAGATCAGTACGAAGAGGAAGGTACGAGTGGATGAGCGGTAGAACGAGCGTACCTAGTTACATGCGGCATGGAGAAATTGAACCGAACGCCACAGGGTTCATGGTATGCTGCTGCTTGGCGGGGTAAACCGCTCGGTCTGAGGATGAAAGCACACGCATACAGTGGTTAGTTCGTTTTAGGGTGGAGGGATAAAAGGAGGGAAGGGAGGGAAGGGACGTACAATAACATCCCGACTTCGGTCTAAAAAATATGAGCCACACGAGCGAACGAACGAACACATTTCAGTAAGCTCTCGCGATAGAAGCATAAAGAGTAGGTAATCCCGATATCGACGACCAACGCTGCCTCGCCCTTCACGCCTGGTTTATTCCCCGATTCTAACGAGGCGAGGAACGCAGCACCGCGCATCGAATTCGTAGGGCCCGACGAACTGACATACACACCCATCAGCCCCTATCTGCATATCCTCACAAGCACACACAGAAAAAAAAACTCACAAAGTCCTAATTGGCTCCTTCCCCGCCTCCTCATACCTCAACAAAGTCACATCATTACTTGTCACAATCACCGGCCGTCCCCCCAATCCCAGCTCGTCTGCCGCGCGCTCGAAGCTCATCGTCGTCAATTTCGCACACCGGAGCAGCACGGCGCTCATGATCTTTGTGTTCTCGCGCTCGAGCAGTCCGAGGTTCGATATGTCGCGAGAGCAGACGATGTCGAGGTATGAGATGCGGGAGAGGAGGGAGGCGGCCACAGAGCCTTATGACCGCCACTCTATCAAGACGACTCGTGTTCGTTTCCACCAACGCATTAACGAAATGCTACATCATTCCGTCTGTGAGTCCTTATCTCATCATATACAGGCAAGAGATTAGGCAGAAGAATAGACTCACAGTAGTCCCGATACTCAACGCCTCGATGTCCTTCTTCGCGTCCCCAGGCACCTGGGGCAACACAAACAATATCGCATTCCTGCTACCGGTCGTCACATCAGGAGTGGTGGGGCTCTTAGCGGAGGTGTGTTGGATGTCATGGGAGTGGGAGTCGAGGGTGTGCGTGAGGTTGAGGAGGACGGCGTGGCTAGGGCCGGAGGATAGGGGCGGTTGAGTTGGGATGGGATGGATGCGAGAGGAAGAGGAAGGAAAAGAACGTACGTATTCGTTCCACTGACGTTGACGCCTATTATGAGCACTGGAGATATCTCCTTCGAGGTGGGTTCGAGATGAATGAACGAGCGTAGATGTTCGAGAGCAAGGAGTCGCGGGAATAGATAAAGTAGCAAGATCGACATGGATAAAGACGAGTCGGATGGATGGATGGATGGATGTAATGCCGACTGAGAGCTATCGCGTTCACATCCCCGTCACTCGAATCGTCGACAGCTGTCCGGTGAGTGGGTGAGCGTCGGCGAGGCCAACGATGAACACAACCGCTGAAGCGGGCGGACGGAGCTTCCCGTGAGCTCAGCTTATATCAGCCTCTCTGTACTTTCTCTCGCCACAGACTCAGAGGGCCATATTATGAAATATCTAGGAAGGGGATTAGGGCTTATATGTTAGTTAAAACTTGAAACTTTTTGCGAAAGCTCATTGGCGGATCGGACAGATCTTCCGCCAACGAGTTCCAAGTAAACTTGAAACATATAAGGTCTATTGGGCATACTGTACTTTTTCGACCAAGTGTTCGTGGGAGAATTATGTCAGCCGTGACCACCGCTGGGCCACGGTTCGTTCGGGCGGGCCACGCGTGACGAACAAGCGGAATTGTTCGCATTAGTTCCCAAAAATTGAATTTTGGGCGATTTTCAGTGCAGATTCGTCACGATTTTCTGTTCGTGAACCCGCGTGTATGCGTGACCCCGGGACCAAAACTGTTCGCCGACGCCCTCTGCGTGATGCGTGACGAACACTTGGTCGAAAAACTACAGTAACAGGCTGTTTATAGAAAGCCAGAAGATTGAAAGCAACAGAATCGGTTCCATCACGACACTGAATGCGCCGAGTTCCGAGGTCTGTTGAAGAGTGTAAAAATGAGCAACTATGTGTGGCCCCGATGTATTCGAAGGGCGCGTGGTCATGCTGTGCCGTATTTTCAAATATCGTTGCCCGCCGTGCAGGCCCTCTTCTTCTTGCTTTACATAGACCATCGTCTATCGACCGCCTGCCCCGCTCACCAACGCTCTCCACTCTCACCAGCAAATATCGACCGCAAACAGCTTCCAGAATCAATAAACAACCAGTCTTCGGTAAGAACAGAGACGAGTATTTGAGAATGTGAGTCGTTCTCTGCTGCTGCTGCTGCTGGCGCGTTATAGCTGAATGTCGTCTTGACACATCGTGTTCCTCTACAGACGCGTTCGCAATCCGAATCAACTTTCTGAACATCAAACCGTAACAACAACACTCCCCCAACACTAGTTTTGACAGAGAATAGCAAGGAGTATCTGAGAATGTGAGCCATTCTGCCGCCGATGGCACTTATAGCTGAATGCCGTCCTGACACATCGCTTTCCTCTTAGACACGTCTGCAATCTCGATCTACTTTCTGAATATCGTGAATCTCAAACCGCAACAACAGCGTTCTCCTAACAACCTAACCGTAAGTCCTATCCATCGTCCTCGTTTTCGATGGCGCGCCCACCGTGTCTGGTCATTATCGTCGTTCTCTGTTGCAGCATACAGGCCCCGTCCCTATCTCCCCTTAGTGAAATCTTCTCCACCGTCAACTTGTTCTTAAACGTTCAGGTGTCCGACAAATTCTCTATCATCTGTGAGTAATCTTCCATCCGTCGACGTCGCCCCCCGTTGTGTGTGCTGACGCTGACACTGATACGTTCCCATGCCGCTCTCTCTTTGACCAGTTCTCGCCGAAATAGCTCAAACAACAACACCACCACCACTTACCCGTTCAAAGAACACTAATCAACATGTCGACCAACGTTACCATGGTCCCTGCCGACTACATCATCAACAATGGCATCGTCTATGGCTCTTACGCGCCCTTCGACGACGCATCGGCCGCCTTCACCCTCGCCTCCCCACCGTCCCCAGCACCTTCCTTGAAACGCCGCCGCAAATTCGAGGCCGACTATAGCTCGGATGGCGACGCCGACGATGAAGAAGGAATCAGCTCGGACTCTGACTCCGAGTCTGACTGTAGCAATCTCGAGGACAAAGAGAACGCTATTCCGGCAGAGAATAAGGAAAATGTCCCGCCTCCACGGAAGAGGCCTTGCCTCGACCTCGAGGATAGTCCGCGCCTGCGTGCGGCAGAGTTGAGTCCGGGCAGGTTGTCGAGGGCCTCCTGGACGAGTGATAGCGCGTCGACCTACTCCCTGTTGACGCCGCCCGACTCTCCTCGTTTCGTCTTTCGCCCGCTCGAGATAGTACGTTCGCGTTCATTGACCATTGTTTTTCCTTGTCGTTATGAGCTGGTATCTGATCCTTTACGTCATCAGATCAAAGTTTATGGCGATGGAGATGACGAGGACGATGCCGACGTCAAGAAATCTTTGCTTTTCACATCCGACGTCGAATGCCCTCCTACCTCGTCGGTAAGTTTCTTTGCTTGTCGTCCGTGGTTGCCGTTCTATCCGCCTACATCTGAGTGCCATGCTGTGTAGGACGAGTCGAGCGACTCCCGCAGCTCCGTCGTTAGCCAGGACAACGACGTGGACGTCCATTACGCCGACTCAGAGGTAGAGCTAAAGGCTACGACTCAACATCCCCTCAGCTTTTCCTCTACCGAGGAAGAGGAGGAGTCTGGGGAGGAGGAAGAGGATGGGGATGCAGAAGGGAAGTACCAGGATTGGGGCATGGAGGAAGGATATGAAGGTGAAGATGAGTGCGACGATAAGGTGAGCCGAACTATAACCAACTCGAATTCGAGCTCATTCTAACCTTCCCGATCTCCTTTTCGCTCTACCAGGAGTACATCGAACTCGAGGACTATATGCCGCCGTCCGTGCCAAGTCCTACCCCCAATATGCGGACCTGAGCGGATCCGGCATGTTCCTCATTCTCTGCATGTAGTTGGAGTTTTTTCTGTCTGGTATATTCCTTCTCTATCCGTCTCGTCTCTTGGTATCTGCTATCGTCGCTTTCCTTTCCTTTCCTTTCCTTTCCTTTCCTTTCCTTTCCTAACATACTGGACTGATCGCTAATGTAAGTTTCCCCCGTCGCCATCTTATTCCATTTCATCTTGTTGTCTCGCCGTTTCGCCATCCCGTCGTTTTTGCTTTCGTCTGCTGTTCTTGTTCTCACCTTTGTTTGTGTTCGGTCCGCGTATATCTACTCCTGTGCTGTCCATCGACACTTGTTGATGGAAGCTATCGATGTATTTCTCTCGTCGTGGATGTTGTTAGTATGCCTTGTTGCGGTCGTTGTCCTTTCTCAAAGTCGCTGCCGGTGTTCATGGAGTTATCGTCGTTGGGGGGTTTTTTTTTTCATTTGTTCTCATTGTCTGTGGAGTCATCGGTCGTCGTTATCATGTTGTCTCCGTCGCGGTTGTTTTTGGCATCGTTGATCATGTATTTATTGCATCGTCACTCGCGCGATCATGGACTGTCCTCTGTCCATCTTCGGGTTTTCTGATCGGACTTGTTCATACTCACAGGCTGTATGCAATTATGTCCTGTCGGAGGGCAGTCTCGAATCTCGATGGGTCTATGGTTCGTGATTTTGGAACCTAAGTGCTGTTCTCGTGTGGCGAAGCACGCATGTGGGGCATCCGGAAAGTTGAGCTTTGAAGCTCAGTTTCTGAAAGTTACCATATATGTCGGCGGCCGGAATTGGGGCCCTTGTCCAGTGAGAACAATTATCTTTGTAGCAATAAGTTAAGGGTGATAACAGAGTCTAAGGTGAGAGGTGCGCTCGGACGTGACTTTGAGCGCGCGTGACTTGATCAACAAGCCATGCTGTGGCACTTCGGGATTTTCGAACACATCCAGAGGCCCTTGCCAGTTCAGTATTCACCCAGATCTCTCCAACAGACACGGTACCATTAAAGAGTAGAGAAAATAATACAAAAATAAGTATACTACAACGCAACCCTCACGCATCAACTCTTGCCGTCACTCTCTACGATATCCACAACCTCCACGCCGTTCTCAGGTACAATACAAAGGTTTGTAAGTATGTCCGAATGAAGTTCCTCAACCTTCGAAAACATCCCACATGCCGTCTGCCAGCGTTCGTCCGCCGCCTTCTTGAGCCGACGCCACTCCTCTGGATCCTGCTCTTTCACCTCCTCCTCCGTCCGATATCCATAGCTCCACCGTCGAATGAGTCCTCCTGGAATGTACTGTGTGAAGGACTTGCGTTCTTCGTTATCCGGATCTGCGAGAGGCGTATTGCCGTGGGCAACAGCAGCTGAGGGGATGAGGATTGTAGTGCCGGGTGGAAACTCCATAATGATTTTCCAGTCCCAGAGAATTAGGTGACCACCCTTTTTGTAGTCATACCGTCCGAGGGCGTGAATAGCGCACATTCCGAAGATAATATTAGCGTGGTCGCGGTGTAGCAAGGTGGTGACATTGTTTCCGAGATTGAAATGGACGCAGGGGAAGATACTAAATGGGAACGGCCGAAAAAGGGAGGGAAGGCAAAGCAGCTCGATCATGCTTTCGACGGCGAGGAGACAGCTGTCAAGGAACCGGAAGGCCTTTGGCGACGTGAATGCGTAGGCGGCTATGGAAACCATTCAGTACTCCACGCACAATTGGGGGATCCAAGAACAACTTACTGCTGCCGTAGTGTGCAATCTTCCGGATGTTCGGATCCTTACACAGCTCCTCAACCGCCCTAGCATTCTTCTGCGACCTCATGTCCATGGGCATAGGGTACTAAGCAAGTAGACAACCAGTAAGCTTTGAAATGAACGAAATGATAATAAAAACATACCTGCTGCCCGCCACCCATCGAGAAGCCCGTGAACAGAGTCGTGAACCAGCCCCGCCTACCATTAGGATCTCGCTGTGGTGCGCCCATGGCCACAAGAGCTCTATCCATGGCCGCACATGCTCCTTTGCAGATCGATTCCCAGCGTGAGTCTGCAGGAAAGCCGAGGCACCGCGCCACAATATGCCCCAGGCTATCCACCAAGGCAAAATTCGTTCTAAGGAGGTAGAATGAATCAGTTTGGCGTAGATACATACAAGAGAACAAGACATACGTTCCGTCCCACTCGATCAAGGTGAAGCCGCAATCGCTCATCAACTTCTCGGCGGTTCAGCCTGCGACCTTGGAAGCCTTGAACTTCGGAAGGCGAATCCATGCACCAATAGCGTGAGCGATCCGCGGTACAGAGAACCAATTCATCCGGAGCGTGTCGGCTACGTTGACGGTGCCGTATTTTTCAACCAGGTGGGCGGAGAACGTGAGCGGGCCTCGAGTGAGTGGATGGCTCATCGCTTCCTCATGCTCCCGGTAAGCGGTGTCACGTATGTGGCGGCGTTTTCGAGCCACTCGTTGGTTACGAGGGTTGCGCAGCGCGGACGAAGAGGGTTCCGGGCGAGGTGAAGCCTGAGCATTGGGACTCGTAGAAGGTTCGACTGGAATTCGCCGAGAGAAGGACACGACGCTCTTGCAGGACGATACGAGGGTGTATATCTTGTGAATGATTGACCGGGCGGAGGACGTTGTAGAAGGGGCTTCGTTGGGAAGCAGTGAAGGAGAGGGCGGCGACAGAGAGGGTGGTGACGGAGAGGATGGCGACAGAGAGGGTGGCGGAGGGTGTGGCAACTGGGCAAAGGACGCGGAGTCGGCTGAAAACCCATCGAGGTCGAGGAGACCATCCATAGTCTCGCCATCATCATCGTCACGCATCCGGTCTGCAACTACAGCAGCGTGACGGAGTGCACGGCCGAGGGAAAAGCCGTCAGACACGGTTACAAGCCCGTCCAATGACTCCGGGGTGAGCCAAGGAGTCAAGGCTAGAAGTTGACGTTTCTAGAAGGGGAAAGAATGATGAGAAAATATCCAAGAATATGAAGTAGACAAACGAAAAGTCGAATACTTACAACGTGCTCCATCCTCGGATTGCCACCACTAAAAAGAGATTACGCGTAAGAAATCACACTGACACGTCATGATAGATAGTTAGGGCCGTGAAGAATGAAGAAAAGGCTTGGATGCCCTTAAGAATGTAGAATGGCACGTCAAAACGCGTAGAAACGCGACTCAAGATTGACCCCTGCGACCCTAAGGGAGCCGAAAGGCCGCCGTCTACTCCTACAGTAGGTGGGCAGGGGAGTCATCTCGAGTAAAGGAGGTAAAAGGATGGAGGAGGTTTGAAAATAAAATGCGCAAAGGTCAGGACGCTCACCTTAGGTGGTACCCAGAGCAGTCGCGACGGTTGTGGAGGAAGAAAGAGCAAGTGGTGAAACACGGATCAAAGCCGTCCATAATATGAGACGGAGGTAATTGCAGTTCAAACTCCGCTCAATCCGCGGCGCGCGCCCCCAAACTCGCCTGCATTATGCTCGACAACATAGTGAAGCTTGATCGTATGAGAGATTAATCAGAACGAAATTTGAGAGTCTTCTTGAAGTACGCACCGAACCGAATATCAAGTTTTTTTCTATCCAGTACGGACCGTGTGGCTGACTTCAAACTTGCTTCAAACCCCGTTCGCGTTCTTCGGAAGTTCAAGTCAAGCCTGCCCTTGATTCGGGAGTCGCGACGGTTTACGCCATTGTATGAAGGTTTTCCTCCGACTTTAATAGCTTGGTCTTTTTCAAAATGAAATCACAGACAGGAAAGTCAGGGAGAACTACGTACACTGAGGTTATTCGAAGTAGTCTGAGGTCTGACGGAGTTTGACGAGGTCCGACGAAGTTGGCTGAACTCCGACGAGCTCTGACGAGCTCTTCCTGGGTTTTCCGGCCGGGAAAACGGGCGCGGACCGGCGACGCGCTCGGACGCGCTCGTCGGAGTTCATACACTCGTGGCACCCAATTATTTATAGTCGTATTTACTTCGCAGATAAGTCGCCGAATGTTAACAGCAAATATAAAATTTACGCATAACCTCTCAACCAACAAACACAAAATCACAAGTCTACTCCAATATAGAGGGTCGGGCAAAAAGTAGGATACTGTAGTTTTTCGCGCACAAGTTTGTGTCCCGTGTCCCATGGGAGCCGCGAACGAACTTGTGCCGCGGGACAGTCCCACCCCATTGACGTGCACTGAACTTGTAAATGGGACAAACCAAAATTTGACGAAAATTTAACGAAAATGTGAATATATTCTAGGCTCCTAAATTGACCTCAGGAAGGCCCCCACGGCACACTTTGGGCTAGATTTTACTACTGGGTGAGCTCTTCCACCCCAATAGATGTTATCTGCAGCCAGAAAAATGGACTTTTGCGTTGCAAACCGATGAGAATGAGTTTTAAAAGTGAGAATTTCAAGTGAAAGTTCATTTCGAAGGGGAATGTGTAGGCTGGCTGTGATTGGCTGATCACCCTCCTTTGGCCTGCATCGGCGCCTACCGAAGGTGTAGAGACGAACTATTACTTGAAAATTGGCGTTGCCGACCTCCAGATTCGCTGATCCGAAGCTCACAGAAACTCTTACTTTTCAGGCTGCAGATAACATCTAATGCAGAGGATGAATGGCTGTTGAGCAGTTATGAAAGGTCATATTCCTGAAATGGCGTCGATGTTCACGAACATTGTCCCTTGTCCCGGTCTGCTTGCGAACCGGGACGCGAACGGATTATGTCATCTCGGCAACGGCCGAGGGGCGGTGGCGTGAACTTGTGCGCGAAAAAGTACAGTACATGGCCTGTTTACGGCAATTCTAAATAACAGTAAATATCATGTTCAACGCCTCTTGTTTAACAGTACATTGTGTCACCGATTCTCGTATTTACATTTCCAATCATTCTGCTCAAATTGAACGTGCCAAGGAATGAATGATTTTTTCCATTGCTGCATGCAGCATTTATTTCCATGCAGGGCCTCAGAAAAACCGATCATTTACCTAAGCTTTGCTCGTCCTCTAAATTTGTGTGAACATTTCATTTTGCAGCCGCTTATTTACAGGGTATCATAAACTCCATACGTAGTACAAGGTTATGAGGCCCTCGAATGGTGTATATATCGTTGCGTTTGGGTTATCCTCAAAAAAGAAGTCTATTCATCATTTAGGGTCGAAAATGAACTATACGATTATAGGCACACCAGACTGTGCCATCAACGAGCCATTTATCGTGATGGTTTCTAGATCGCCGGAGGTCGCCACCTACCTGGAACCCGTCCACAAGAACAAGCTTCTGTAGTTCCCCCGGTGTTGCTCAACGAAAAGCAACTTCATTCCACGCGAAAGACAAGCAAAAATAAATCATAGTTGTACAAATTCGCTACGAGGAAACACAAGAAGATCAAAGCAGTACAAAAGCATGAGGCGCGGAGCCCTCCAAAACACCAAGAAACTAATACCAAGAAATGCCTCCCCCCCCTCCCCCCCAGCACAACGAAGGCATGGGCGAGCGCGCGCCATTGCTTACTATAAAACCCTCAGAAAAAGAGACTCCGAGTAGTCGCCAAACACTTACGGGAGGTACATGCCAATACATTCCATACGGACTCTCCAACAGCTCGTTTTTGAACCACACCTCGACTGTGTAGTGCAAGCTATCGTCCGTGTCGGAGCGGTGTAACCCGCATTCCCTTTGTACACGAGTCTGGTCAGCTCTGTATGTGTCAATCGATAAAGATACCACCTACCGCTCGACGATAGTCATCCGGCCATTCAAGTTCCCATTTCCCCACTGATTCTGAGCGAACGTTTTGCAGGCCTGGATGCACTGTGCCCTGGCGTTTGGTTATGTTGGCCACATATTCGGGCGGACGATGACCCAAACTCACAAGGCCATTTTGCTATCGCCTTGGTGTGGGTAAGAAAACGATCAGGATCGTCCAGTCGAAACGTACCAAGGATTAGATCGTGTCGGCTGAGAGGGTGGCGCACACGAAAGCGATTTGAAGGGGTGCTATTCGTCTGTGGCTGAGGTCAAAGCGGTCAAAAGGATCTAACACCGAACACATGCGATGTGAGATGCGTCAAAGTAGGCTAGCAGGGCAGACGAAAGAGCGCGAGTGAAGGCGAGAACTTACCTAGCGGTGAGGAAAGCCAGAGAATGCGCGCGAAATGAAGTGGTCAAAGTTGAGTCAGAAGTATAAAGAAAAGGGTACGAGAATGCCCACGCGAAGTCTACACGAGTCCCTCGCGAAGTCTCCACGATTGCATGAGGAGTAGGATAAGGAGAGGACTTGCCTGGTGGTGAATAAAGACAACGACAAATACACGCGAAGTGGGATTCCTCAAAGTAGGTTAGAAGGACAGACGAAATGGTGCGAGTGCATGGCGAGTGGGAGAAGTAGAGGACTTACCTGGTAGTGATCAAGACAACAGAAAACGCACGCGAAGTGAAACGGTTCAAAATAAGTTAGAAATACGGACGAAAGGGTGCGAAAATACCCTCACGAAGACTATACGAGTCCCTCGCAAAGTCTCCGCGATTATATAATGAGTAGGATGAGAAAAGGGCTTACCTGGTGGTGGCCGAAGACAGCAACGAGCACACGCGAAGTGAAACGAGCTGAAGTAGGTTAGAAATACAGACGAAAGGGTGAGAGTGCATGACGAGTTGGACAACCAGGGAGACTCACCTCTTGACCAAGACCGAACACACGCAAAGTGAGACGAGTCAAAACAGGTTAGAAGAATAGACGAAAGGGTCAGAGTGTATGGCGGGCGGGAGAAGGAGAGGACTTACCTGATAGTGATCAAGACAACAGCAAATGCACGCGAAGTGAAACGGTTCAAGGTAAGTTAGAAAAACGGACGAAAGGGTGCGAGAATACCCTCACGAAGGCTACACGAGTCCCTCGCGAAGTCTCCTTGATTGAGCAACGAGCAGGATAAGAAAAGGGCTTACCTGGTGGTGAGCGAAGACAGAGACGAACACGCTGGAAGTGAAATGAGCTAAAGTAAGTTATAAATACAGACGAAATTGTGAGAATGCATGACGAGTAGGACAAGCAGGAGGACTCACCTTTTGGCCGAGACCGAACACGCGCGAAGTGAGGCACGTTAAAGTAGGTTAGAAGGATAGATGAAAAGGTGCGAGTGAATGGCGAGTGGGAGAAGTAGAGGACTTGCCTGGTAGTGATCAAGACAACAGCAAACGTACGCGAAGTGTAACAGTTCAAGGTAGGTTAGAAACACAGACGAAAGTGAGTAGCTCGCACGAAAGGTATGATAGCCGTCTGTGGCTGAGAACGAAAAGGTCAAAAGAATCTGAGAGCGAAGATATACAACAAATTCACTAGGAGGCCTTTCAGAACACGGTCTCCTAAGGTGGTGTTCAAGGTGAACTTTGTGGTTCAGTTCGCCGTGGCCCGCCACTCGGAATCGCTCGAAGTGGACGCCAGTGGCGAAATATGGCGCCGCCGCCGCCGCGTTAGTCGTAAAGCATGGAACAGCTCAATTCTCAAGTCGAACAGAGCTGCGGTGACAGTTAGGATGACATGTTTCTCACCACCAGAGATAGCTTTTTCACCATCGCGCTCGCTTTCCTCAACAAAGAATGCACCGTCCGTGGACCCTGTCGCCCTAGATCCCAAGTCGAGGAATGGATCGACATGTTACCCCAGCACAAGTCTAAGTTCGAGTCCTCAGTCATCGATGACATTGTGACCGTCGACTTCCATGTTCAAGTTGGGATAGAGAGCGGACACATTGACACTTCGGGTGGCACTGCACCTTCTTTTCTGTTCTCGGGAGCGCCACAAGTCGCCACAGTCGGCGTCTCCTGCCGGGTTTCATTTTGCGGCGTTACAGTAACACCGACGTAGCAGACCTTGACACGTTGAACGTCCTATCTTCTACACCAAGGTCTGTCTGTGAAAAGACTACTCCAAGACTACCCATCCTGTGACCGCTCTGAGCTGTTTTAGGCCTCCGTCGCTACTCCGGCTCTCCCACTCCCACCATCTGTTGACGACTGTTTACAGACGCACATTGTAGTGACCTCTGCCCATGGCCCCACATCCCTACCACCTTCGTTCACCCTCCCGATCATCCAAGAAACTGCACTCAGCACCCTCTTCCTCTATCCCCACACGCCGACGTCGCTCTGTCAGGAGTTCTTCTTCCATACCTTCGAACATGGTCGACACTATAGACTGGAGCAGGTTTGGCCAGGGCCCCCGTGCCCCTTTCGCCCAGATAAGCGTCCCTGCGACCAACAAGGAAGTCTCCGACCTCGATGTCGCCACGCAAATAATCCAGCACACAATGCGTCAGTGGTGTTTCTCTCCTGTGTCAAAGTCCATGCTACTGATGCTCTTTGTACGCATGTACCTCAGGCGGGAAGACCACGATCAGTGGTGAAGATTACGCACAACATGCAACAGTGGTCGACGAGGCGTTCGCGGCGGGGCTCTCCAGAATTCGTCCAGAAGGTACGTTTCGTTCGCTCACCAGCCTCTGCTTTTCACCCCTCACGCGCTCCTTCTGTGCCACAGTACGCTCAGCTCAGATCATCGACCCCGCTATCCAAGCTCTCCGCAACGAGCTGAGAGCGGCGGCCTCAGAGGCCGTTGCTGCTGGCTTGGCAGAGATTAAAGGCGAAATACAGCAGGTGAAAGCCGAATTACGGGACGTCAAGGGCGAGTTGCGGCAGATAAAAGGTGGGCTGGGAGAGGTCAAGGATGAGCTTCAAGCGGTCAAGAAGTCACAGATCAACATTGGCTTAGGCCTTCGCACCCTGGCACAGGTAATTTTCTCCCGCTCTCTCTAAAACCAGGCTCTAACCATGATGCACATGCAGGAGTCGAACAGGCGTTCGGGCGATGGATCAATATATCCTTACTGCACAGTACCCTCCAAGGACGGCAAGTTCCCGGAGGACGTCGGACTCGTCGACATAAGGAATCTGCAACAACTCCTGGACTTGGACACTGCCACCCTCAAAAAATATCTCGAGTTCCACGGTCACCCTTCTGCTCAAAGGCACCGTGCCTTGGCCAAGGACATTGGTGTCGAGAAGGCGCTGTTGCCGCTGTGATGGTTGTGCCGTCTTATCCGTTCTCACCACCAGCTCTATTTTCGATTCTATTATCTTCCATATCCCATACACCTGCCGATGATCCATATTTGTACCTGCCTGCTTATCCGCTCTCCTGTCTCTTTGCGTGCGTTCGCAATGTACGATATCCTGAGTTTGGGTTTTTTTGCGGTAATACCACACCGCTCCGTTTAAAACCAAGGCAGAGTGTATATCCGTCAAGAGTTCACGTTCCATGCGAAAGAGACGACGAGGAGGTGCCGATGCGAGTGGAGTCGCAGCGGAAGAGGTGGTGGACAGGCTGGTGGGAGACGGCGGGAGACGCACACTTCCAGCATCGCGTGGGCACTCCTTCTTCCGAGGAAAAGACGCTCTTGTTACGCGGCAAGTGCCGGGAGCATCTTGTTGTGACGGGAACGTCTTTGGGTGGCACCTAGGTAGTTGGTTTGTATATTCATATCGGAGGAGGAGGGCCTCTAGCAATGAAAACCGCTCAGAAATCCTTCGAAGTTGGCCGGCGTGACATGATTGATGGATTTGAGGTAATGCCGGGGTATCTGGAAGCAGCCGAATAGCGATAAGATTGATGGACAGCGCCTCGTTTACCGCTTGAGCGCCCGCGGCTATATCGTCTTCTGATCCTTTGGATCGTCTTTTTCCCTCCTCGCCTTCGCTTCGCGAGCGGTTTGGCTGGCACGACAGCCCAAACAGCAGGGTCCCGAAGAGACCTTCCTACGGCAAAAAAGACGATACGATTAGATTGAAAGATGATCCCTCCACCCGCGTCACACAGCTCGCCACCTCCCGCCACCCGCCCACACTCAGACAATCCCAGCTCTCCTCGTTGCTCTTTCAGGTCGCCGCTTCGTGCCTAGCATCATTCTGTGTATTCTGTATACTTCCAGGAAGATGCGTTATTTTTTCCAGGCCGCTTCGCGGCCGTCTTGTATGTTTCATACTGATCCCCTTACAAGCACACAAGTAGCACATATACACCACCTCCACTTGTATACCTACTTGTAATAAAATATGTTTGATACCTTACATACAATTACCTATCACTCTTTGAGCACCCCCTGCAAAATCCAGTCCCCCCGATACACCTGCATGCTCGAATGTAAGCCAAGCGGCCCCTCCATGCAGCGGCGCCACACTCCGATGGCCAAACTCGCGCTCTCCGCGCGCGGTCACGGTCAGTCACGTCACGTCACACCGTTACCGTACTGTGGCGGACTAGGAAGCTGGACGGACATAGAAGCTGGACAAACTTTTCTGGAATTTCAAGCACACATATTCGTGCCTTCATCGCTCTAGATTACTTGTAGGCCTACATCGTCCCGTACAATATGTAAAAAATATTTTGTGTGATCCTTGTGAGTATTTTGTAGAAGATGGTGAAATGTTGTCGGAGATGGGGTTTGTGTGGCCATTTTGCCACATGCAGGGAGCTCGACCGACATGGACACCTCGACTCGCCTTTAATATCAGCGTACATTCTCGTAGAAATCTATGTGTGGTATAAATGGGGACATGCCATAAGTGATTCTAAATTATTCTGGCAGACCATGGTTGCCTACTTTTGCATGGGACATCTTTTGTTGAGGGGATCCTCTGGCTAAGGCGCCACAAGAGGCTCCCACTTCGTGAGGCTCTAGCTCCAGCATCCATGATCTTCCTCATACAAAAAGTTTATGGTCTTGGAGACCGAACAAAATAATTCCTCTGCCAAGGTCTGCTTGTTTTTAACAGACTGTTTGGCTTCTAGACGGCACGGTTTTAGAGAAATGACCAATTTTGCACCTCTCAAACATCCGAATGAAACCTGAGCGCAGAAAGTCGTGCAGCACCCCACAAATATTTACACAGATAGAATTATCTATCTTAAAATGCTATGGGTACTTCTTGCTGCTGGTCGTCTAACGATTATGTGTACGAAATCGGTGGGCAAGGGGGTGTGGCGCCTTTTGACATCTTTTTCGCCACTCATTCGGCAATAGCCGGGCCCTTTCGGCGCGCTCCAGAGGCGTCCAGCTTCCCTGTTTTGCCACTTTCCCCACTCGTCGTCGCAGAATATTCATTGACGATGGTTTACTGCATCAAGCTCTCTAAATAGTTGTAAATATACTTAATATATGTCGGACTACCTAAATGTGTCACTTAGTTTGCATGTCATAGACATGAAATTGATTAAATGGGCGAGAAAGCCCATCTGTCCAGGATCCTAGTCCGCCACAGTAGCGTCTTTTTTCCATTTCCCAGTTTTACTTCCCACACTCGCCCCTCCGCCACTCACGCCACACCACTCGGATCTTCCTGTGTCCCACACCTTTCGATAGCGTCTCCCTCCTCCTCACTCTTCCTGGGAATTGTTCACTATGGACGGCAAAGGCACATAGCTCTATCGTATGGCTCGGGCTCAGACGCGATTTGGACCCGTCGGCACACAGAAATAGCGCGGGTTGCCTCTGAGGACTTGTGTGGCCCAAACACATATGGGACTTCATAGGGTCGGCCAATTTGTGTTGTTGTGTCGGCGAAGATATGGATACAACTATGAGTATATATGAGTATGCGCAATGGAATGGAATCATGCTTTTCGATGGAGTTGGATCGGGCCGGCAAGTCGCAAGAAAAGCACGCGGAAGACAATGGCTACAGCTGAGGATGGGCCACAGTACTGGCTGATAACTGGTATATATTCGTCGCCTTCAGTTCAGCGAGGCTAGTCAATCATCCTGAAGATACGGAACACACAGCGACATTGCCCACGACAGTGTGTAATGCATGGGTCGGTCCTTGCGTCTAACTATGCCCAACTCAACCCGGACTGTGTGGCGAGCTGAAAGCCAGCGTGTCGGCTCCCACACTAAGCTGTATATTTTATCCGGCATCGCCCGCTCGTCTTTGTTCCCGTATTGCTCACTGCCTCGTCTTTCCGTATTGTTCACTGCCTCGTCTCTTGCTGTGAAGCTTCCGTATTGTTCACTGCCTCGTCTCTTGCTGTGAAGCTTCCGTCTTGCGAGTTAGCTTCTACAGAATGTGGGTAGTTTTTCCACTGTCTACGATAACAACAGACCGGGGATGTGTCTAGCTGGGATCCATGTTACTCGGGACGTGCTGGCCATTTCGTCTGTTGAGTGCCAACCTATCTCGGACGTGTTGTTGTACTCTGGATCCTCGCTAGCCGATGCCGGCAACTATTGAGACAATTGGTGGCTGTTGTATTTGATTCAGTGCGTGTCTCTGTATTGCATTGTTCCCAAAGCGCCCTGGATCCGCCGGTCGCCTATATAAGGACCCACGCGATCAACTGCTCACCTTCTTCCTCACCAACCTTCTCTCCACCTCACAACCTCGTAGCCCCATAAAATCGTGAAGCAATGGTATAGTCCTCGCTTGATCCTCCGATCAAAGTTCATATACTGATGAGATCTATACCTTAGTTCGACTACATAATCAGAAAAGTCAGGCGCACCGACATCAGTATCATGTTCCTAGACTTCGCCACCTCGGCGGACATGGTGCCAGAGCCCCAATACGCCATTTATACCCAAGATACCTGGCACGAAACACTCCAGTTGGCGGAACGCTCTCCTTTCTTCACGAAAAATGCTCAGGGCGACGTCCATCAGCCCATTCCTACCACTACACCCCCTTCCCCGAGCGAACAGCCAATTCAGTGCATGCTCCATCCCAAGGCGCAGACAGTTCCTTCGTGGTTTGGCTCTGCTACGGACAGCATAAAAGCACTCGGCATTCTCCACATCTGTACTGTCTTCGACGTCGAACCCTTGGCGTATGCCGAGCTCATCGCGAGCACCAAGAGGAACCCATCGCCGTCTTCTTCCCTGCTCCATTCGCTCACAGACATCGCTGTCACTCTTCCCTCCCTGACCGAGATATCGTGGGTCCCGCACCTGACCGAAATCTCTGAGTCGAGCGATAGAGGCGATGGGTGTCATTACCTGGAGAAGACGTTAGCCGACATCGAGAAGGAAATTCGTGAGGACTTTGGTGGGATATCTGTTGGAGTTTACAGAGTTTTGGAGGATGAGTTGCGTGATGGGAAGCGTGTCGTGGCCCGCTTAGGCCTAGACGCGCGGTTCGGCGGTAACACGTCTTCTGAACCTTGAACATGGCATCGGCGCCTCTCGCTCGCTATCATATAGCTCTGCTCTGTGTCTTGCATATGTCCATCTTCCGCTTTGAATTGTACTAGTATATCTGTTTTACCATTGAATCAACTTGGAGTACCTTGTCGACTACGGCTGCAACCAGGCTCCGCAGTTTTCAGTTCCCCGTCCCGTTGTTTCCACTGGTGTCTTTGATGGCCATACCCTGTACTGGGGTGACACCCAGCAAAACCTGTCGTGTTTTGCTGGCTGAGATGCGTGAGATCCAAGCAGTTGAAGACAGTTGTCACTTCCTTTTCGGAAGGCTTCGAGCATCTGTATCGAAGAAAATCTTTGGCCACACCTGAGCTGGCCAGCGTTGAGGTGGCGTGATCAGACTCGATCGTTTCCAGAGGAACGCGGGGCATTGGCAGTCTGCCCTCTGCATCGACTAGTAGGTTCCATTCCGGGCCAAGAATCAGCCCTGTTTCAGTCATGCCATTGTTCCTTGACACGGCGGCGCTGGCCAAGGCGGTGGCTGTAGGAATAACGAATTCCATTGCTTTGTTTTCGACGTCCGCTCGCTTGTTTTAGCACTTGGTCTCTTTGTCCGTTTGCTGCGTCACTAGGTCGTGGCGTATATAACCGCTCCCGCCGAACACTCTCTTTCTGCCCCTTGTCCTGATCCTTCTCGTCTCCCTCCATCTGACTGTTGTCTATATGCTTCCGTCATGAATCGTCTGGCAGAATTCCTTTCCGCTTCAAACTTGTATGATTGTCGCACTTTAGCTGACATTAATCTTTATTTGGCGATATAGGATATACTGGAGGATACGTACATCGACATCGGTATAGCTACCTTCTGGCATGTTGACCCTCCTGGAGGGACACCGAGTGTCACACATGGTCCTATCATACAGGAAACTACAACTCGGATGATACCGAGCAGATTCGAGCCTTTTATCAGGACGGACACGCACAGCGACGTATTACATCCCAGTTCCGGTCTCCGTTCCACTGATATACCTTCCCTCACACACTACACCTGTGTTGTTCGCCCTCATCCTCCTTTCTCCGAGTTATCGTCCCTCCCTGAGCAGTGCGAAGCAATTTACTCGCGTCTGCTCACGATTGAAGGCTTCTCAGAGTACTTCCGGATATCAGCCTCCTTACATGCTTTTCGCCACCCGACTGATATCGTTACAGAGCTGCGGGACTGCCTAGCTCTGGGCGCGTGCGGTGTTTGGCGGGTACGGGTACGGGTTCGTCTCTGGCACCCGTTGGACCCGTGCAGAACCCTAAGCTCAAGTCACTACATGTAGTGCCTCATCCGTAGGATGACCTCCCGTATAACGTCTACTCTGTGTGGAACCTGGTCAGTAGGTCGACTATCCATTGCAGGTTATCCTTGCGAAATACAAGCTCTGAGAAGCAACTCCGACATCGATTACAGGGAGATGCATTCGGAGAAGGTGTAGTAGTTCCCTGCGTCTGATGAGATGACGTATATTTCGTTCTCGCCCGAGTCTATACACACTGCAGCTTCAAACGGCGACATAATATGACAATGCTGTGGTCGTTCGACGGACACTTCGGGTGAATTATATACATAGGGACATGGCAACGATTCATTGGACTATAGACGATTTGACCTGCTCAGTATACGTACATGTGGAATCGACATCTGCACCACCGTTTACTTTGCGAGCAGCGTTTTCAACATACCCTTTATGTCCTTCATCTCCTCTCCTAACTGTGCAAAGCGCTTCTCCGTCTCCTCATCACGCCTCTTCATCTCTTCAGCCAAGTCCGCGAAGCACTTATTCAACTCCTTCACCTCTTTTCCCAGCTCCTTCACCTCTTTTCCCAGCTCCGCCACAATAACTTCAACAGTCTCGACTTGGCCTCTGAGCTTATCTATTTGATCATTTATTTCATAAGAGGCGAAGTAATATGTTGTCAGATGAGTAACATTTGAGTATATACATAGTGCGTTCGGACATACCAACGGGTATGCTGGACGTTGACACCCCGCTGAAAGACGGTGCCGGACTATGTGTCCTCCCGCCGACCCTCACCTGCATCTTCTTAAACCACACAGGGCACCGGACTTCAAGCTCACTTTCCGCTGAGCACATTCTGCGAATATACGAATTACCCGCAACATCCCCCTTGCAATCCCCTCAGCGCTCATTCCACGTAATTATGACACAAACACAATATATACGCGAGTTCAACGAACTTGAAGGGACGTACCGGGATTTTAGCCCGCTATATAATAAAATATGACATTTTCCAGAGGTTTATTCAGCGAGGACGGAGATCGTGAAAGTGGATTATATTCAACAGTGTAGGTACTAAGTAGTATGTAACTCGTACAGGCGGCATCTACGGCTACGGAGGCTGCTCTCAACATAAGTTACATATGCACACGTCAATCAAACATTACACCGGCTGTAAGCCACTACAACCCAGAGCAACCAAAAACCGTGCAAACCGCAGTTTCATGAATGTGGCTATCGGGTTGGGGTGAATGCGTGCGGAGACCTAGATATATGCTAGTCAATGATGTGAAATGCAAACGAAAAGTACATATAGCGTACCTTTGCGGACTTTGAAGTCTGAGTGGAAGGTATATCTGAGCTAAGTTGAAAGCATAAGGTGTCATGCAAGAGGAGACACGGAGCACGTACATACAATCCATGGCCGGCTCGGGAGCGCAAGTTATGATCCAGCTGTGAGTTGAACAAATCATCCTATGTGGGCAGTACACACCTTTGGAGAATTCCATCACCGAAGTAAACCCTCCACTAAACATCCTTCGCACCTCATGATATTGTTCACCCGGAATCCGAAGAAAGTGGTCGTAGATGTGGGCGCGCACCTCGGAACAAAGACATCGAATGAGAAGTGTCGAGGCGAGCGAAGGATGTCGAAAAGGGAGAGAGGGGGGAGGGGAGGAGGAAGGGAGGAGGAAGAGAGGAGGAAGGGAGGAGGAAGGGAGGGGGCGGCAGGGAGAGGGAGGGAGGGAGAGGGAGGGAGGGAGAGGGAGGGAGAGGGAGGGAGGCGGGGTGACGGCGGGATGTTGGTCTTTATGTAGAGCGGTGAGGAGATCGCGCACGGACCACGTCGTCGCTTGTTGACGTCATGCCTGGAGGTGAACGAGAGCGAGAGAGAGAGGTTCGAACGGCGAGCGAGGGGTGGAGGAGAGCTGTGAAGTTGAGAGGAAGTCGAGAGACACGAGAGAGCTATTTGTGGACGCGCTCAGCATCGCGACTTTTGCTTCCGAACTTGCCCTATTTTGGAGGATTACTCGGCGGATAAAGCAATTCATTCTCGTTCGGGACATGCTGGCGAGAATCTTGTGTATATTTTGATTCCCCCCGGCATCCCCGCGGAGGAAAATTCCGCCTGAAGTCCGGTGGGGTATTTCTGCCTCGTGTTATCCCCCCCCCTCATGGGTCGTAATGAGCAACTTGAAAATGGCGAGCTCCTGGCTCTGCGAGAGCGAGGAGATCGAGAGCGATCGGAGGTCACCGGACGAGTCGGAACTGTCTGATAGTCCGGAGCTGTCGCCCTGTCGGACGAAGGAGGTGTCGTACCCGCTGAGGGTGTCGTCGGTGGATGTCGAACGGTCAAAAGAGAAAGATGTGTCCGCGGGCGCGATTTCGCGAGATGTCGTGGACGTGGGCGACGAGAGGATGCGAGTAGTGTCGGGCGAGTGAACGAGAATGTCTTTCAACTGACGAGCAACTTCCGCATCTTCTGGAGCGAGAGTTTCCCAAGGCATGTTCATTATGGGAAGAACGTTGGCCATGAATTGTTCGATGGAGACGTCGAGGACATCCATGAATTCCATGGCCCTTTCTCCATCGATGTCGGACATGATGGCGTGCGAGAGCGGTGAGGGTCGATAGGCTGAGTGGTTTAGAGGGCAATATTTGAGCGGTAGACGCTTAGAAGAGCGACAATACTGAAAGAAGATGGGAGCGGCGGAGAGTTTGAGCGAGACCGTGGACATTCAAGTTGTAGCAGTAGCTGACAAGGGTTGATGTGTGCCTTGCTGGGACGACCTTTTCCGCGGCCTCGAAACGAGACCACGCATTTGTATGTGTGTACTCCGGGTGGCGCGCCACAGCTGCGAGATGCCACGATTGTTTCACACTTGTGGATTCGACTCCCGAGTTCTCCTGCCTCATATCTGGCTGGCCATGTCGGAAAACTCATATGGTGGAGCACGGCAGAGTCGTACAATATACTTACATACATCCACATCTCAGTTCGCAAGAGGTGTCAGGCTGCGAGGGATACTACCGTGACAAACTGAAACCAAAGGAAGAAAGGTCTATTCAAACTACAAAAAGTTACAAGGTATATAGGACAAATTCTCCATAAAGAACGACGCTGTAAAACACCAAATTCATGAAAGAGGTCGTGATCAAGAACAGGCCTAGGTAGAAATACGTGCATTGACATGGTGCGCGCCGCGGCGATCACACCTACACACACACACACACATACGGGCAACCACCTGACCATCAAACATCCGGATTCGAGATTTGCTGCGTCAGACTCAGAGTATCGATGCCGTTCGTCCAAGTTGAAGCTCGAACCTATCAACGGCATCCACAACCTCGCATCCTCCATACATAACGCGTCGCTGCAGCCCGCCGCCTTGTTATACATCTCCTCTATGTTCCAGAACAATGTTAACACCTTCACTCACACCCAATGCCTCCAGAACCTTAACCCTCCTATTCAAACAAATACTTGCACAGATCCACATTCTCTACCATCTTCCCTCCTAGGCCTTTCGCCTTCTTCCACCCGTTCTGCTCCCACCTATATATCCACTCCACCATGCCCCACTGGCGGCGAGTAGGCTCAGATGAGAAGCAAAAGCGATAACGACAGAAAATAAGTAAAAGGGATATCCGTCGTCGGTGTCGGGTGTCGGTCACGGTGCTTATTGTACATAGGAGTCTAAAATCGAACTGAAGAGCACGTAAGTTATATATACTGTATAACAGCTCGCATGATAACAGCATGGGTGGCAGTCTGGCTATGTTTTGTATGCTCCGGTCCGACACATTCCACGTTTCAAGCGAAAATCTGGGGTTGGCATTCAGTTAATATTGGGAGAGGAGCCACGCTGAACGCCACCGCAGCTAGTGCGCGATTCGGACGTCCTGGGTTGGGAGGGAGCAATTTTTGGTGACGGCGACGACGTAGATGAGGAGGTGACCGAGATTAGAGAGCTTCGCGAGCGGATGCAAGGGACCGTCTGGGTCAAGGGGCACAAAGAGTGTGGCTTGAAGGGTCTGTCTATCTGCTACGGGCACTGTGGTACTGCATGCGCCTCGCACACAGAAATCGGTATTGCGAACACAATACTGCGCCCACCAACGTCGATGAGGTGTCGACGGGATACCCTACGTATGAGGAGTGTCTCACAGCATAAAATACCGCACGTGGAGAGAAAACAATCGGGGGGAGGGGCGAAGAGGTAAGGCGGTGACCTCGCCCACCCAAAAACTCGGATTCCGGACGCGAAACACGTCCAGAAGCCCCAAATTCAACGGGGATACTCTATCTGGAGTGTCAGGAGTGCCCTCCACCGAAACAATAAAGGTGAAAAAATAAAAATAAAAAAAGGCACACCAAGGTAGAGGGGCAACATCATGCCCCCAGGCAGACCATTGTGAACTGTGGGAAACCGGAACAGCAAATGGTAAGTCCAAAGTGTTCAGTGGCCTGCATAAATGAAATATCACTCAGTTCAAATTCCTGCTGGACTTTCGAGGTTAGAGAACGCACCTTGCCACCCATGGTGGGGGGGGGGGCGCACCGTGCATCTAGGTGGACCCAAGGGGAGCTGACAAATATAATGAATAACCGGGACCTGGTTAGTTAGTTAGGCCCTCAGGCCTCTTAAAAAAATTTTGGACCCCACCCAGAAAATCACCAAACAATCGCCAAAATAATACATTGGGCTGGGAGCGATATAGGTATCATGTGCTGATGCTAATTGGATTATTATAGAACCATTTTGTGGGCAAAATGTTGATGACTGGGTCAAAACTAGAGTGAAATAATTAAGGGTTTCGCCGTTGGGCAGTCTTACGCAAACTTCAAAGCTCAGACTGGTAAATTGAGTGTGATTGAGCAGCCATGCATCATGGAAATATAGAAGTATAAGGTTTGGGATCAGAGGCTAGGGCAGCGGAAGATCAACGTCAACGGCGAACATAACCTAGCCTAATTCAAGTGCAGATTGAATGATAGACTGATGATAAATCACTTATACTTCATTCCCCAAAAGAAATAAAGAGCGGAGATTCTTCTGATTGGCTCAGAAATATTAATTACAGTTAGTTAGTTCACCCCTCGCCTCCCTTAAAAAAAAATCGACTCCCGGTGTTTCATTCAGGATCTCAGCTCCCCTTGGGTGGACCCACGATCATCGTTCATGATGGCCATCACAGACGGCACGTGTTTTGCTGATGGTGGAATACAACTCCAGTAACCTTGTGAGTATGACACGAAGACCATCTGACAAAAAGTGAGTGAGTGTCACGAATTCCTACGTGCATATGAGTGCCAGTGGAAGGTGTCACTTACCCCGACATACCGCAATTGCGAGGCCAGTATCATCCCGACCACCACATTTGAAGAAGTGGCAGTTCCCTAAAAGATATTTGAGTCATCTACAGTGGAGAAAACCCGCCTCAAAAACTTACATTTTCAATCGCGCGATAGTTAGGGGGAGGGGGTGCCCACCGCGAAAATATCAATATCTCGGCCATAAGAGGGCATATCGGGCCCAAGTTGGACGTGTTAACTGTTCAATAAATGCAATAAGAGCCACGAAACAAACAAAAGAGGGATGAAAAAGGAAAGTGAAAAAGGCGCACCATGCCTCTCTGGGTACCCCACGAACATCGTTCGTGATGGAGTACTGTAGTTTTTCGCGCACAAGTTTGTGTCCCGTGTCCCATGGGAGCCGCGAACGAACTTGTGCCGCGGGACAGTCCCACCCCATTGACGTGCACTGAACTTGTAAATGGGACAAACCAAAATTTGACGAAAATTTAACGAAAATGTGAATATATTCTAGGCTCCTAAATTGACCTCAGGAAGGCCCCCACGGCACACTTTGGGCTAGATTTTACTACTGGGTGAGCTCTTCCACCCCAATAGATGTTATCTGCAGCCAGAAAAATGGACTTTTGCGTTGCAAACCGATGAGAATGAGTTTTAAAAGTGAGAATTTCAAGTGAAAGTTCATTTCGAAGGGGAATGTGTAGGCTGGCTGTGATTGGCTGATCACCCTCCTTTGGCCTGCATCGGCGCCTACCGAAGGTGTAGAGACGAACTATTACTTGAAAATTGGCGTTGCCGACCTCCAGATTCGCTGATCCGAAGCTCACAGAAACTCTTACTTTTCAGGCTGCAGATAACATCTAATGCAGAGGATGAATGGCTGTTGAGCAGTTATGAAAGGTCATATTCCTGAAATGGCGTCGATGTTCACGAACATTGTCCCTTGTCCCGGTCTGCTTGCGAACCGGGACGCGAACGGATTATGTCATCTCGGCAACGGCCGAGGGGCGGTGGCGTGAACTTGTGCGCGAAAAAGTACAGTATTGTCGACGCATTGATCAGCAATATTATGGAACGTTCATACAAGTATTTTGAGCCTGAAACGAAGGTAATCGCATGGAAAATGAGTGAGTTACGCTAAAGTTTCAGTTCAAATGAATATAAGGTATGACTTACCCCCAGAAAACGCAATTCCGAGCGCGCTATGGCTTCGAACGCCGACGTGATGATAGATACAGTGTCATATTACTGGGGTGAGTCACATGCTGCAGAAAAAACCGGGCAGCGAACCTTGAATTCCCAATCGCGCGACACTCAGAGGTAGGGGGTGGCCCACCGGCCAAACAGCCGATATACTCACCCTGAGAGAGCACACCGGCCCTAAACAAGAGGTAGACACGGTCTACAGAGTGCATTGATTGCCGTCAAACACAAAAAAGAGCAAGAGAAAAGGAAGATAGGAAGGCGCACCATGGTCCCTTGGCCAGAGAACTTTCCCACGCTGTCAAATCAGCGCTGATTTGACTCAGTCCTTGGCGGGGGAGACTATTTCTCACCTTTCTCGACGACGAGCAGGCCGTTCTGCGTGGAACCAAATGTGGTAATGAGATGGTAGACCTGTCTGACGATTATTAATTCATCACGAAGCAATTCAAACGAAAAGTGAGCCAATGGGAACATATTTGGTGTGGGGGATTTGAGGCAATAACTCACCGGCATGCTCGCCTTCGTTCTTCCTCATTACTCGGTCGATTCGCGTCAAACCTTTTGTGCCGCGGGTGGAAAAAAGTGTTCCAGTCAGTTTGAGCCTATATACTTAGAGCCGGATCGAACCGCAAAAAATCAAACACGAACGAAAGTTGGAAGAGAAGTATTTTGGAGCCATGACTCACCTGGGAGGTTCGCGTCGACCCGTCCGTTTGCAGCAGTGGTGCGTACGACCGCGATCGGAGATCGATAGTCCATGTGAAGGCAGTGATTTCTAGCTACTTATTTTGAAGAAAGAACCGCAAATAAGCGAGAACGAACCGAATTTCGAGGAGGGGGGGTGTTGAGAGTGAAACTCACCTCGCTGTTTGTGCGCGTTCTAGACGATGCGTGGGTCGTTTCTCTCCAAATCTTCATCGTGAGTGATAAGTACATACCGGTGCCGTTCTTTTGAGGCCACGACACTGGAAATCGAAGGATATTTGAGCAGACGGGAACGCATTTTCGGAACAGGGTATTAGGAACGAAAACCCACCAACGTGTTTCATCTCGTTCTCGCCGTTGAGTGGCCCAGTCCTCTCCAAACGTTTATGCAGGTTGGTGCACCTACATCGTCCCGTCATTTCTAGCGCGCTAGATTGAAAATCAAACGATAACTGAGCAAACCCGAACACATTTCCGAGTGCTAAGAGCGAAAACTCACCAATACACCTTTCCTCGTTCCCCAGGATAAGTGGTCAGTGTCCTGCCAAACCTTTACTCAGGCTAGCTGAGCTACCCCATGCCGCCGTGGAATACAGGCCTATATATTGAAAATTGTGAAAGAATTGAGCAAACGCGTACAAATTTTCGAGAGGGGTATATGAGAGGCGAAAAGATACCAATGTTTTCGTCCTTGTTGTCGACGATGGATGGGCCTTTTCCTATCAAACATTTTTGGGGTGGATGCACCTGACCCGCCCCGTCATTTTGGGCCCATAGCATTAGAAATTGAACCGATATTGAGCAAATGCGAATACACTTACTTGAATGGCACGCGGTTGGGCCTTCTCGATAACTGGACGTCAGCGGTGGACAGCGTGGAAGAGGACACGAGTAACACACAAGGTGAGGACAGTAACGTCTGGGGCAGTCGCCGTCCCTCCACGAGTCGCATCCATCACAGCCAAGTACACCGCTTCACACGGTTGAACGAATCCACTGCCTGCAGCAGAGTCAAAGTGAAAGCTACAGAGGGAGAGAGAACGGCGGGTTGGTCCAAAATGGCACTGGAGTTGGACAGAGTGAAGTAACGCACAGCAGGCCACACAGCGGCACGGGAAGCGTCCCGAGACGTCGATCCTGAATCAAACAGCCTTCGAGAAGAACAGCCGTCAAGTGACTTTTGCCAGAGCCCTATCCCGGAGACGATTTCATACATCCCTTGAGCTTGAGTAAGCTTCAAAGAGAAAATGAATACACGAACCTGCAGACCACATACGACGGCGCTGAAAGGGGTGTTTGTGTTCACGTACAGTTTCGTGAGTGGCGAAGGCTCCTTACTAGTAGGTGAATGCAGAACGTTTCCGTAGACTGGGCGCTGAGGAAGGACGGTCGTACCAATGACATTCAAGGCTTCGTTTGTGAAGAGCGGAGCGGTCCGCATGCTATGGCTTCCTGCCAAGTCTGTGTCGTGTTGAAATGAGCTCACATAGCGAAACAAGAGTTCAGCCTCCGGACTGAGGCCAACGGTAGCGTTGGTGGAGTATGGCATGGCAAATTATGTGCTATATACAAAAGCTAGTCAAGAGTCGAGAAAGAAGCAACGGTCGGGATCCCAGCTCGGGCTCGTAAAGCATTCTGCTTACGTCAAAGCGAACCAAGCACTGGTACGCACGGCACGCCACATAAATATGACGCCGCGGCAGTTGAGTAATGATTGGAAGATGAGGCAAGGAAAAAGGCGACCAGACAGATTGAACCGAGCAGGCGACAGGGTGCGAGTGAGAGCTTGAAAGAAACGTGAAGGGTACGAAGCCGGCAGGAGATAAAAATCTTCAGACAAGAAATGAACCTAAATGAACACTCAGTAACGTACAGAGACGGCGAGGCCGGGCCGCAAAGCTATTGGCCTCCGGATCATTTGCAATCGCGAGCTGCTCGACCGTTCGCGGTCTGAACGGTCTGCTGGTACTAGCCACGTCTTATACCTCTTCATACTACCGCATCATTGTCCCATTCACACTTCATCGTATTCTCTCGAGGTCAAATCCCTATCGGATACGAAACAAAAGACAATTACCGCGACACGTTAATCAAACCGGGGCCCCGACGCCACATCACACACTCAACAGCCCCCAGCTATCAATCAGCAAGCCATCGGTCTCTTTCGAAGAATGGGAATCAAAAGCACGCCTCGGAGACCTAGAGGAATTGAGCGTGATGGGTGTCAAGGGCGTGTTCGCGATACCTTCGTTACCGTCCAAGGTCCGTCTCGCCACACCTCTCTCTCCGCTATGACCAACAGGCGACGATGTGCAGTTTAATGTCGAAGCAGCCAATTCGAGGGTACTCGAGCTTCTCCCTCTCGTTGAACACAGAGTCCTGTCCTCTACAACATCCATCTCAACCTCTGCCTGCTTCACTGGCCTCACCATGCCCCCCTACGCCAACGTCCAACCCACCATGCCCATATAAACAGTACAAGAATCCTACGAGTGGCTTACTATCGTCGAGTGCTCCGCTGCGCACAGCCAAGAGTCGCATTTGAGGAAATATTCGAAGGGTGGGAGCATTCGTCGGGGATTTGTGAGATGCTGGCGATAAGAATCGCGGAGATAAATGCTGAGGTTGAGGGGATGTTGCTTGAGTAGAGTAGTGTAGAGGAGGAGGGGAGGCGCTTTGAAGGAAACCTCTCAAAGTTGTTGGAGGTGAAGGTCAGTTCGCTTCTGCTTTGGCTTCACTTGTCTGCGGAGAGCTTATGTGCACGTATACTGGCGTAGGACCGGTTGGCGGAGCTACAGGACGAGTATTTCTTGGGAACACGCAACGAGGATGTTGAGCCATTCGGGCGGGTCACCTGTCCTGCAGATGGACTTCCCGTACATGCTCGAACTCGTCGACCTTTGTATCGATTTTCTGAAGGCCCGCGTATGTCACTTCCAATCTCCGCTTCCTGTTACTCACATTCAACTAATTCTCTATGACCACCATGTATGATATCTCGCCACTTCTGCGAAGCAAAGATTGGCGTCCTCCACTTCCAACACTGTATGGCTCGCATAATGACGCTTCCCGGAACGTTATCCGTCGGGTCTTTTCTACGCTCCTTCGAGATCTTTCACGAGAGTTATCGCGGAGGGTAAGTTCTCTCTACCTTGAATCACTACTTCCATTATATCTGCGCCACACTAGTTTACTCAACGCCACACCAACTTTTTTCCCTCCCCTTTTTTCCTTACCCTTCCTCTTCCTCGCCATATGACCATATAACCTAATTCACAGGACATCCTTTCGATAGCAGAACAACATCTCCCCCTCCGAACCCGTCCCACATCAACTAGCTCCGCTCGACTTGGAGCTTGTTGAGTGACGAGCGGCGTCGCATCCGGATCAATTAGCTGTACTGTTGCACGTACGTCGCCCTCTTCCTTTTTCTCCGTTTTCTAAATATTCTGTACCACCCATATCCTACGTCGAGAGGTTGTTTTCGTTTTGTCTTCACGTTTGTTCGACACACCGTTCGTGATATGGACATCGCTCTCGCTCTCCTTCTCCTTTGGTACGCACATCGATGTTGATTTCACCTTCATTTGTGGCTGCTATACAGGAATTTCGCGCGACGTTGTTCACGGTGAGGGGATATTGTGGCAAGAAAGTCAGTTGGAGAGGTGAAGGGGTTGAGGGCAGGGCGAGGGAAGCTCGTCGAGGTGGTACGTCTTCGTTTCACCCATTCCGTTGTCACCCTTCGTTCTATCCTTCGCCCTTACCCATTCACACATATCATATGTCATACTCATCATACATGAGATCCTTTCCCTTTGCCCTTCGTACTCCCCATTCTATTCCTCCATCACTTTCTCTTCTCTCTCCTCTCCAGCCCTATATCCCCACACCATTCCATCCCGACCCTCGGATCATCCCAATAAGCCAAAAACATCCTCACTCACAAATGACTGTGATGCGGCCGATACGTCCTGCCCTCCAACACTTCCTTGTCTAGGCGTCGAACTCTTCCAGTATTTCTCGGCGAGCCGAGTGTTTCTGCATCCAGTTCTGGCTCTTCCGTTTGTTCGGTCGTGTCGCAGGACGCGTGGTCCGTCTCCTTTGTCAACGCGGATGATGACCTCTCCGCAGGACCTGTCCCTCGGAGGCTCTACATCTCGGTTCAGCTCGGCTCTATTAGTCTTTTCGTAAGGCAAGGCCAGTATCTATATGTAAATCAGGGAAGACAGGATGCGGGGAAGCAGGAAGCCGAGGAGCAACGAGGGGAAGACGTGAGTTTAATAAGAGGATGCGTCGGATGTCATCGTGAAACGTTGCGCATAACATAGCGTTCGATCTGCATGTACAGTGAAAGTCACAGGGGTGTGCAGGTGATACGGTCGAATGTAGCGTAGGAGAAAATCGGGAGAAATGGGGATATCTCGCATGAGGTTTGGAGCGTTCATATTCTGTGGGGGATGCAATTTGTGGCGCGTCTGCAGGAGGCGAAATTCGAAACAAAACGAAACGAAAAGCAGTGGGTGGGAGAACAGGTCGCTATATATAGAAAGGTGAATTTTTGTCCTGATATTATTTACGTAGGATGTGAGAGTGGCGGGAGGAAGGGGTGAGAAGGCAAATTAATTCCCATGCTTGGGCGTGCTAATCTGCGCTTCGAAGGGCTTCTACTCCAGCCACTTGCTGCCGACTGACTCTGCCTTACTTTCTTCGCGAGCGACTTCGACGTTTGCCTTGTTGCTCTTGACCACCACCCTCGTCGTCTAACCCAATTTTCAGCATTCATCGTACACCTCGTCTTTGATTCTGTTCAGATATCGTTCATCTATCAACGAGTCACTACAGATGGTATCGACGCAAATAGCGGTCATAGCTCCCTTCGACCGCGTTCCTAACGAGATCATCGAGCATGTCGCTTTCTTCACCGCAACCCTAGGCCGCCCTGGTCCCCCAGCCGACCTCATTTCTCTCCAGCTCGTCTCTCGCCGCTTCGCATCCACGCTTTCCACGTCCACGAACCCGCATTTCTATGTTCTCATCTTCAGGGCCAAATTCGATGCCGAGGCTTACTTCAGGAGGTTGGGGCCCGAGGCGAAGATCTCGGAGAACGTGGTGAGGGAGCTGAAGAGGAGATTCACGCTGTTGACGAGGTTTAGGGGGCTCCAGCATTGTTTCGTACAGGTGCAGCAGATGCAGACCACGAACCCACCGATCCCGCGCCTCCCTGGGCATGGGGCTATTCCGACCCTTCGCCCAACCGCACCTGCCGAAGGGGATCAACCTACTCTTGCTGCGAGTGAAAGTGAGAGGGAGAATCAGAGCGAGAGGAAAGGGGACGGAGACGAAGACGAGGATGGAGCGAAGGTGACTTTGAAGACGAAGGAGATGCTTTGGATGGCCTATCTCATGATGCTCGAGAACGACGGGCTGAACGAGCGAACACTCAGGAAGTATGGTAGGCTCGATTCATGGCTTCGTAACTTTTGGTTCGATCCCGAAGGGGCGAGCTTCGCTACGTATGCTCTCGGGGATAATCTCTGGCCGCCGGACTCGGAGTTTTCGACGCTAGCAATGTGGTTGTTCTGGCTCCTACTCAAGCCGGGTATGTTTTGTCTCTTTCTATAATTTTGTTTTGCGATGTTGACCTGGGCAATATCGTAGAGGAGTATCTTGTCCTCGATGAACAGACCTTCCGCTCCATCGTCAGCATCCTCAAGCTTATTGCGCTGGGTGCACACAAGGTGAGCATCTCCTGTCCTCGAGAGCGTTTTTCCTTTTCTCTTCCCTCTGTGCTTTTCTCTCTCTTGGCTTCTCCTTGCTTCATGCCCTATCACACTCTATATTTCATGCTATCGTGCGTAAATTTCTGTGCAAAACGGTCGAAATGAAACACGTTCTTGCGTTCTGCATTTTGCCTTTCTCCGCATTCATTTTATGGCCATTATTCCTTTCCTAACCAGGCGCAGATCATCGCGTTCGCGGTCTCCGTAACTGTGTGCGAGCAGGCGGTGTGGGGCAAAGCGCGAGTCCCGATGAACTCGCGGTGTCGTCATCCATCGTCGTCGCTTTGAATCGATTTTATTTCATCTCATCCTTCGAAGGCACGTCTCTGCGTGTTCCTCGAGATCGCTGGCGTTGCGAGCACGAGCACGACGGGCGTGATTACTTTGGAGGTTAATTTTTGCTTCGCTGTTTCGTTGTTGGATGTCGGCGTCTTCCGAGCATGATCGCCGTGCATCGCGGCTTCCCTGTTCGTCGTGCATGCGCGCATCGCGATGACGATGGTCGCGAGACTCGTGGAAGTTCCATCTCGTCTCCACTACGCGGCGTCTCCCGCGCCCGTCGTTCGCTTGATCGCCGCGTCACCCAAACATCTGGAGAATTACCGTAACGTTAAATCAACATTAGGAGCACCATTCATTATCGGCTGTCAATATTGATGTCAACGTTGCTAAGCCGTGTCTTGAGCTTACGTGCTCTCTTTTATGGGAATATGCAAGTAATGCCGCCGGTAATAATAACGGCAGTACTTACTCACATAGGCCCCTTCACGCCTCCTCTCTTTCATTTTTCTTCACTACACACTCCTCGAGAGTGGATTGACGGAGATGAAAACCCAAAGGTTCTCATTTTGTCCTCGGGCGATTGCGAGCCCCGACTTGCGTTCTCGTATCGCGCGGCGAGATCTCTCGTCGTAAAGCGTGATTCGGTGGCATTCGATACCTTCGGGTGTCTTGTCAAAGATTGCGATGATTCGGGTTGCGTGTTCGTGGTTGTCGAGTGAGGTCATTCGCCATGCGAGGTGTGCGTGGATTAGGCGGTTTCGCGGGTTTGTGGGTTCGTTTAACTGCGTATCGATAGCGTTGATTCGATACACGACGGAGAGTGTGTAGAGCGAATTGGAGTTCGTGAGTGTCGGTCACGTTTTTGTGCGCTGTTTGGAGCGATTAAAGTTGACGTGACGGCGTGCACCTATATACATTTGACCCACGATCTCGGGATATGTACCTCCTGTGCATTTTTGAGGGTTTGGGGCTTTCTGTGGTGGATGTGTTTTGTGGATGTTCATTCAGCTCTTTGAGGAGCTCGGAGTATGAGATGACAACGCGGGAGGTGGTGATTCACGCGCGGGTTCCGTCAGATAGGTTTTCTGAATGATCGAACGGAACGAGCGATTGTTCCTTGGGCGAAACTATCTCGCACGCCCATCTCTCCTCCATAATGTGGCATTGCCTCGATTTTATTTCTCACGTGTCAATATCCTCTACCATTCCATATTATATCTCATACATCTTTCTGTGACCTCCCAAAATCGCCTGAAATCGCTCGCTAACCCACTCCACAGTACCCAGTAACCCAGCCCGAATGGATCGAATTCCTCCCCCCATCCCCCTTGCGCAACACCACCCCGACATCCTACGCCTCCTACCCCCTCCTCGTCGCCCCGCCTCTTGCCGCGCCCGCGATCCTGAGCTATCTCAGTCTGGCGCCGAAGAGCGTGAACAAGGCGGACACGTTCAAGAATAGCCCGTTGGCGCCGAGTGGGATATGGCAGATGTTGAGGGAGGAGGCGGAGGCGTTGAGTGCAGAGGAGGAGGATGCAGAGGTTGAAGGTGGTGATGCAGAGAGGGAGGGAGAGCGTGCGGAAAATGTTACGGTGGATAAGGGAAAGGGGAAGGAACGTGAGGGGGCACCCGTACAAGCCGCCGAAGGTCAAGACTCGACCGCCACCGCCACCACCATCACTACCGAAAGAGTCAAGCCGGCCCAGGAGTCGAGGGAGCTCGACTTCCACCACGTCAAGCTCAGTTTCGAGTGGGAATCAGAATGGAAACGGGCTCTGAGCCTCGCGAAGCGGGGGCCTCAGCTTGGTTCGGGCATCGGGATGGGCCCATTCGGAGGAGTTGGGCCTGGGGGTCCCGCTGGTGGATTTGGACTGGGCGGGATGGGGCCTGGAGGAGGGTCTGCTACGGGAGGACCGGCGGGTGGGATGGGTGGGCTGGGTGGAGGTGGATTGGGAGTGGGAGCAGGAGCAGGAGCGAATTCGGGGGCGCAGGAGAGAGAGACAGTGAGGCCTACGGAGGCGTTCAAATTGGGAAACTTGGACGGAGTTTGGGAGGGACTTTTCACCGTGCGTCTTCTCGTTGTTTTATTTTCCTCGTCTTAAAAAAGAAGAAGCCGATTTGGGGATTCCTTTGTTAGTACACGGAGTTCACAGCGTACGCCGCCCTCCTCTCCGGCGCCCCTCCACCCACACTTCACCGTACGCTCGTCGCCCGCCACCAACAAACCTGGAAACTTCGCGAATATCATCTTCTCGGTCCCGAAGAACCGAACGAGCCCCAGAGCGGCAACACCAACTCCAACACCAACAACACGGCGCAGAACGTCCCTGACCGGTACCGCCCGCTGTCGATGGGAGACCCGCTGAGGGCGTACCTGCCCACGGGAGTGGATATCAGCGTCGTAGGTGGTGGGCAGGAGAGGTTGGAGGTGAGGGAGCCAGGGAGGAGGGGTATGTTGGTGTATCAGAGGTGTCCGGGTTTGCTCTCTGTGCCCACGACGGACCCTCCAAATCCCTTGACATCCAACGCGTCGCCTCCACCCACTACCGCGCAAGACGAGATCGAGCCGGTCGCGCAAACCGCCTATCAGCGCCGCGTGCGCGACGTACTCATCAAAGGCGAAGGCCACTCCGCCTGGGGCCAGTTCAAGCTCGTCGGCCGTGTGCGGCCGTACGACGGGTTCGTGAGCCTGAGCAAGGAGTATCTGGACGGGGACCGGGGGAAGTGGTTGTACCGTGGGTTTTTGGTGGGCGATAAGTATGGGAGTTTTACGGGGAGGTGGAGGGATACGTTGAGCCCGGCGGCGGTGCCGGGGTATGAGGGGTGTTTCTTTATGGGGAGGAGGAGGGGGGGAGGGATGGATGTGTGAGAGCGCGGAGTGTTGTGATTTCTTGAGTTCGTTCTTTGGACAGCCTGATTTTTTTTCTTGATTGTTTCCTTCTCGGGTTCGAAGGTCTCGTCTCTTGATGTGGTATGCTGTCCCTCTACATTTCTTTAATCTCCCACACCATGCTTCGGATTCCTTTCTTGATTACACCCTCCCTCTTTTCGGGAGCTGCTACTGACTTCTCTGCCTATTTTTGTGTCTCCCTCGTCGTTACTCGCTCTCCGTCGCTGCTCTTTTCTTGCTTTTGTGTCACATTATCTATTCCATCTTTTCTCGCCCTCTTTCCCTCTACCTCTCGGCTCCTCGCAAACTCGAACCCATCTTTTAGGATCTCTGTTCTATAGTCCATGCTTCTCGATGTGCATTTTCTTTCGTGCCAATGCGCCCTCGTCCTCCTGTCTTCGAGAGTCGTACGTTGGCTCACAATTTCTTGGTGTACGCACTAGGTAGTGTATGAGTATTGTCGACTCTAGTCGCGCCGTGGATGTTGATGCCAATTATTTTCTTTGTGTCCCATTCCTGTCGAGCATGACGGTTTGAGAGGTATTTTTGTACCAGCTTGAGCGTGTTCCCTCGACCGACTGAACATTCGAGTCTGTTAACTTACCAACATTCACTGAGAATAGGGGCGTGAGTCGGTCGGACTACTGTACCTCCCAGAAGTTAGACGACCGCTTACGTAACGTGGGAACTCCCGTGAGGAGGCGACGGACCCTTGGGACAGCGGGACACAGGCGACGGCCAGTCACCTTGCCTCCGAGGGAGAGTGACCCGGCCCTGTACAAATGGTCAGTACTTCGAACCTTTCTCGATTTCACGTCCATCTGCAGTGGTACTTGCAGTTCTGTATCTAAACACTAATTAAAACAATTTTATATTATTTGTTGAAGAAAATACGAGAAAATACGAATATATTACCCTATGGTGCACTCCACTTAGTCACCACCAAAAAAAAACAGTGGCCAAATCGGCCGGAGGCCGAAAAAAAATGAGGAACAATAATATATATATTGATTTCGGCCTTTATTTACATCTGCGGGGCCACAACGCGAGTAACCCCTTCGAGAAATGAACGGAAATTGACGACCGTCGCCAACGGCGCAAAGAGCAAACGACAACGCCACCGAAATACCACTCGTACCACCCATGGCTAAACGGCCTAAACATCTCCTTGAGGCTGCAGCTCGAGCTCGAGCTGCAAGACAAGAAAACCGGAAGCGACCAGAAGACATACCTGGTACCTTAAGCTTGGAATGATCTGACCATGATCGATCCAATTGCCCGACAGATCACAGAACGCATAATTCCCGCCATCGAGTCTGAGATCGGTCCCGGCTGCCAGGCGTTGATCATGGTCGACAACTCGCAAGGACATTCAGCGTATTCCGAAGACGCCTTACTCGTTACTCGGATGAATGTCAATCCGGGTGGCAAACAGGCCTTGCTTCGAGATGGCTGGTTTGTCGATGCAGCCGGTAATCGCCACCCACAGCAGATGTCGTTCCCTTCCGATCATCCCACGAATGCGAACCAAGCGAAAGGACTCAAACAGGTTCTTCATGAGCGAGGCCTTTGGACAACGAACATGCGTGGGAGGTGCAAGAAGTGCGAACACGACACCGTCAACTGTTGTGGCAAGCGCGTACTCGAACTTCAACCGGATTTCAAGGCTCAGAAATCCCTGGTGCAAGAAGTCATCGAGGCCGCGGGACACCTTTGCATTTTCCTTCCCAAATATCATTGCGAGCTCAACTTCATTGAATACTTTTGGGGCGCGGTCAAGCGCCATCTTCGAGAGAATTCCGATTACACTTTCGACACACTCAAGACGAACATGCCGGCTGCACTTGCGTCTGTGCAGTTGACGACAATCCGGCGATGGGAGCACCGGATGCAAAGGTGGATGGATGCTTACAGGGCAGGTATGGAGACTCAGAAAGCAAACTTACATGTCCGTAACTACAGTTCTCGCAAGTACACGTCCCACAGACGCATTCCGGAGGGTGTGGCGCGCCACTATGACATCACGGATTTCCGCCGAGGCTTGTAATCAATTGCACCGATTAAATGGCGGCGCAAGGTGGCGGTGGGTTAACTGCAGTTATATCGCCCTTGAAAATACTTATTTGGGCTGAAACAGGTTTTTAAAGGTTAGAAAGCTACGGAATGTTAGATTGGCTTGGGATCGGCCCCATTCCTAGACCCGCCGAGTTCGGCCGGAATCGATGCGTCACCAAAGAAGGCGCAGTTTGGGACTCAGCGTGGGACTTGCCAGCGCACTCATGATTTTCTTGCGCGGGCTGATTCCCTTTCGAGTTGGACCACCATTATCCCCTCATCCCTTCTTCCCCCAAGTCCGAAGCCTTCGCTGGTCACTTCATCTTCGGCCCCAGCGTTTACTCTACGATGGCCAAGGCCTTTTCTTTCACATGGTGCTATACGGCTCGGACGCTCTTGGCAGATTTGCGTGGCGAGCGCGTGTTGACGTGAAGGTGGCAGGTCGGGTGCGTTGTTGCGTTCCCTTCGTTTCGTTCTTGTTTGTTTTCCTGTTCGCCCTCGCTTTCGTCCTTTCCCACATCCCCTCTGCACAAGACGACGCAGACACTGTGCGTCGTCTTAGGACTAGGGGATGGCATTATCAATGTACGGCGTGAATGTCGTACGCGACGCGCTGTCGTGTGCGGGCAACTACTTACGTTCGTACCTGATCTTGAGCACCTCTACGCACACTCGCATATCCTGTCCGACAATACCAGTGAAATGCTTTCTGTTTCTTACTTTCTTTGGTCTCGTCTTGCTGCTGTTGCCCGATCTGTATAACACCTCGCCTGTAATTGCTACCTCATCCTTTGTATACTTATGTATGTATGTACATAGTGCTACCCAACACACAATGCCATAATCTGCGAACTATTTATTGCTCGATCACGCTGTTAAAATGACCACGAAACTACAACCTGGGCTGAAGAGATGTGACCGTTGACAGATTTTGAGGGCCTATAGTAACTTGGGCTCCTTCGCTATAGTCCTTGCAATATGTGAATGAGCACAATAACCCATTTCACTTGTTGTAGAAGTATTTCAGTGATTGCACCAAATATATGACCTTGCGAACGAAATATATGAGTTTGCAAGACTCGGCAGATTTCCGTGATGGACCAGTAATATGTATATTTTTATGCTTATGTAATCTCCCGGCCAAAACTGCGTACCCCGAAATTTATTCCTCCCTCATTTTTCAAGTTATCGAAATTTTGTCTTGGGGTTCGATTGCTATTGTCAAAAGGAGTCTTTTTGCAAGACGGATAAGAAAATGGTGGAAAATTGAATATCTTTATTGCATTGTTCGATTTTGGTGGTGACTAAGTGGAGTGCACCATAGGCGACAAGAACCTCGGGACACCGGGACAAGCGCCCAAATAGGCGACGCGACAGGCCCCTCGGGACACCGGACGTCGCCTAACGTCTGGGAGGTACAGTATTACCCCGGGTCGATAAGATTAGCGCTTTCTCGGTGATCGCTTTTTTCTCGCTCCCTGAGTTGTCTTTCCGCTCGCTCTCGTCCACGCTCTCCTTCTCCTTCTCTACATACCGGCAGCTCCAAAGATATACCTGGTAGCTTCCTTCTAAAGAAACTGAACAGTTTTCTCATTGTTACTACTTCGTCCTGTATTGGCCTTCGCGACCACAGGAATCCCCTTCAACTCCTTCGAGCTCAACTGTCAACTGCTTCAACGCCCCGCTGCTGCTAGCCGCAAGTTATACCTCTTCATACCACAGCGCCGACGTCACGTTCTTACTTCATCGTGATATTTTGAGGGACAATCCAACATGGACACAAAACTGGACCGAATGCTACCGAATGACGACGACGCGTTCTTCGAACCAGCGAGGCCACCAATTCGAGAGTTTCTCTGTGCCTTAGCACTTGAACGTTTGAACCACCACCCCGTTCCTCGACACCTCCCCTACAGTATCCGTCTCAGCCTCCGCCCGCTTTTCCGACCTCACCTCCACCACCGCCACCACCTCGCACCCATAGGAGAACCTCCATCAAAACCCCTCTATCCGAAGCCCGCAACAGTCTTGTGACTCGTTCACCCTCATCGAGTGCTCCGTCGCCCGCAGCCAAGGGTTGCTTGTGGAGAAATATTTGAAGGTGACGAGGATCGATTGATGTTGGTGGCGAAGATCGACGAGATAGATGCGGAGGTCTAGAGGATGTCACTTGGGTGTATGAATGTAGAGGAGGGAGGGAGACGGTTTTAGGAGGCGTTTCAGAGGTTTTTGGAGGAGAGATTCAGCTCGTGTGTGGAGAGCTTATGTTGACGTTTGCAGGCGTACGACCGGCTGGCGGAACCACAGGCTGTGAATTTGCATAGGCTGTATCATTTTCAAGGATTGGAATATGCGACGAGTACGTTGAACCATCTGGACGACTCGCTTGTACTTCGGACAGACTCCCCGTGCATGTTCGAACACGGCGACGTTTGCATCGAATTTCTCAAAGCACAGGTATACCACTCCACATCTTTTCTTCCTGATCTCCACGGATAACTAACCCTCTATTGCTGATATGTGTGATCCAGAGCCATTCTCGCGAAGCAGATCTCTACCTCGGCGTTCAACAATGTATGGCCCGCGCAACAACGCTCATCAAAATTCTATTCGTCACGTCTTTTGATATGCTCATGCAAGATATCCGACGGAGCTCATAAAGAAAAGGTACGTTCTCTCTACTTACGACCACCACGTCCATCGTACCTACGCCACACTAGTTTACGTCACGTCACGCCATCTTCTCCCTCTCCTGCTCCTTTTGTCCCTCTCGTCCTCTTCCTCATCATGTTGTTCCGACTCACTGACTGCCAACCTAGGCGAATACGGCATCCCTTTGACAGCCCAGAAACCGTCATCTACACCCACTTCCAGCCTCTTCCAGCCCGTCCGCATCGACTGGCTCCGGTCCTCTCGAAGCTCGGGGCGGTCGGCGTCGCAGCACGATCAGTTTGCTCTTTCGTTCCAGTACGTTTCCTCTGTCCTCCACCTCCAGACTCTTGGCCCTTTGTTTTCTTCGCTTCGATAGTGTCGTCCTCCTTGGCGTTTTTTTTCGTTGCAATCTCATCGCTTGGCCTATTGCACAATGCTCAAACGTGGGCGCCACACTATTCCTCGGCCCGGTTCGTATGTAACTAGTGTGATATAATTGCTGACACGAATTCATGGTTTTCTTATATAGGAGGGATCTATGGGGTGGTTTACGGCAACGCATGGGATCGTGTAGGGAAGGTTCGTCGAGGTATTGGGAGGGTTGGGAGTGGGGAGGAGGAGCCCGTCGAGGTGGTACGTCCGACTCTTTGGATTTGCATTCATCGTCGTCGTCATCAACACCATCGCGATAGGACCTATCCTTCAATCAATGGCCACAGACGAGTGCGGGTGTAGCTTTCTGAAGCAGCTCTGCACGGCCGGGCGGGAACACTATCAGTGCTGTGTCGATTCTGGGGAGTATGAGCTTTAGTGCGTCTTGCTTAAATTTCATTTCGTTCTAGTCTTCTCGGATATCGATAGAGTTGAAGGCGCACATTCCGGTGGAGACCGCGGAGTCGACGAAGCAAGAGGAGCAGACAGAGAAAGCGTGATGTATCGCGCCGGGTATGGTTATAGCGCGAGGGGGGAGTATAGTACCTGCTTCAAACTTGCGATGAAGAGAAGTACTGATATGTCGAGAGGGCCGATGTCGACAGCGAAGAGGATCCGCTAGTGAAGGTCTAGAAAAGGGAGAAAACTGAGCACACACCAAGCTTAGAACAAGAGTGGTATTATCGATAATACGGCCTCGTGACTGCGATGGGACCCATGAGTTTCGACGACTGAGCTGTGGGTGGTGGAACAGAGCAGATCTTTCAGTATACAAGCAGGTTCGAAGCAAGGAGAGGGGGTCGACGGCAGGGAATTGTTCGGTGCCACATCTGGAGATAAGATTAGATGTATTGGCCGAGCGATAAAAGTGAACTTCGACAGTCCCTCTTCCCCTCCACGACCTCACCCACCCTAACATCCTGCCAGTCGCGACCAATTATATCTCTATACCATCACGCTAGCCTACTGAGCACAGAATCCGAACCCAATCACAACGAAAGCGAATGACGTCCATCCGGCGGCGAAGCGCGCCACCTCACGCACTTGCTCACAGCCATGAAACTGCAAACCGTCCTTCTCGTTCGAGGAGTTGAAGTCAAGGCAACACTATGAGACCTCGACGACCTGAGATTAGTATCCGTGAACAATACGCTTGATATTCATTCGTTGCCATTCAAGGTCCGTCTCGTCGCACTTTGTCCATCCTCTTGACAGCTGACGCTGCACAACGGTGAATAGTTTACGGCGGGGGAAGTGAGCTCCTGGGTATCAATATCCGTCAGTTTCGTTGAATTACGACCTCCATCCCGACAGTCAACACTCGGCATCCCCTTCTTATGACCTCCGCCTTCGCCCGCTCCCCCTGTCTCTCCTCTGCAACCACCACACCCACGACCCCACACCAACACCCACATGTCCATCCCACCGTCCCGATAGGATCCCCGCAGTAGTTCCACGAATAGTTTGCACTCCTCGATAGGTTGCTAGTGCGCAGCCAAGATCGCATTTTTAGGAAACATCTAGAGTGGCTTGAGGTTTGGGCGTGCGTTTCTGAGATATTGGTGAGGAGGGTAGAGCAAGTCTAGGCCGAGATTGAGGGGATGGTAAAGAGGTGTAAGCTTGTAGGAGGCTTGTTAGTGGTCGCTATCTGAGGATGAGATTCTCCTCCGTGGGTATGTTGCGTTCGTGCTGAACTTGACACGTCTTTGAGTCGTGTAGGACCTGTCGGTTAAACAGCAGAAAGCGATCGGAAAGAGACTCGATTGTTCTCGGTAGTTTGAACGCACGACGAGGATATTCAACCATCCGGGCGGCTCGCTCGTCCTCCACACCGATCTCCTATATATTGTTGAACGCGTCGATCGCCTTTCTCAAGACTCTCGTAGGTTCTTCTCCTTCTCCCTCCCTTCCCTGCCCTCGATTCGTTCTGATTGCTGAGTCCTGACTCTTTCCGAATGTAGCGCCACTCTCGCGAAGTCGAGCCCTATCTCCGTTTGTAGCAGTGTAAGACTAGCACGATGACGCTTGTCAAGCTGTTTTTTGTTGGGTCATTGCTTGCATTCTCACAGGATCTTACACGGCGAAAAGGTATGTTCTTTCTACCACGCCCATAGTATCTGCGCCATACTACCACCTACGCCAGGCTACCCTCCGTCCACTCCCTTTGATCCCCTCTCGTTTCATTTTGTCGATGACTAACAACATCGATTCATCATCGTGACGCAGGAAGTCTGGTCGACAGCAACACAACCTCAATACTCGCTTCCAGTCCGTCCACTATCCAGTGGTTCCGGTCCTCTCCTCTCCGAGCTTGAGCGACGAGCAGCATCGCCGCCCAACCAATTCGTTTCCTTATCGCGGGTACGTTCGCTTCCTTCTTCTACATTCTGCTTTATCATTTTATCTGCGGATCTGTCTTCCACTTTGCTGTTCGTGCGATTAGGACGTCAAATGTGGCCGCCACATTCCTCTTCGCTGGAGTTTGTGATTTTTGACGTGAATGCTGATGCGAATTCTTGGTTCCTTGATCTAGGAGTGTCATACGGCGTGTTTCTTGGCGAGGAAAGTGATCGTAATGAGAAGGTTGGTCGAGGAAGTGAGAGGGTTGGAGGTGGAGTTGAGGTCGTCGAGGTGGTACGTCCCTTCTTCGCCCTTCTTCTCTGTCAGTACTATTCCCTATATCGCAAAATCAAGGCCACTTCAGCCGTGTTGGATGAGGAAGTGGCTGACTGTGTTGGTTTCGAAGCATACGGACTCCCTCGTTCGACTTTGAACATCTTTCGGAATGCGTGTGGGTACCTTGTTGATGAATGGATGAACGGGCGGACCGGCGAATAGACCGACGCATGAATTGATTGCCTGGCCGGGATATCTATGGGCGTGGGCACAGACGAGGGCGGGACGTAGTCGCTGGAATAAGTCCTGCACGGAAAACTGGGAGCCCCATTGGTCTCTTTTTGATTTCGGGGAAGAGGAACTCTGGTGTGTCTCCCTTCCACTAAGATGCTCCGCAGCTTTCTTCCTCGTCTCCTCAATCTTCTTCTCACCCACACTGTCTTTTGTGACGCATTGATCTCGTTACGTCTCACCTCTTCTCTGTAATCTTTTACCGTTCTGAACCAATTCGCGCTTCCACGATCGTTTCGTTGGTCGCTGACTGGATTCCTTTTCCGTATATCAGTCTTTCCTACCACACTCCCTTCCTCACTCCGTCCTTTGTCTTTCTCGACAAAGTATCGACATACTGCCCGTCATTTCGCCCCTATCACGGACATCCGAGCTCTACGAACCTATTCTACCCGCGGGTTCGGCCCAAGCGCCCAACCAATTGTACGACCAACGTCCTCAACTGATGCATCCAAACACACGCAATCAGTCCACCTATCAACGCACCCAATCGACAAACTGTCCACCTTCCTACCAAAAAAACAACTCGCACATGCAAGCATGCACACAATCACCAAACGAAACAACCAGAGCGCTTACCTCCAACCTCCTCGCGGCTATCTCTACGACGAGCTCTGTCCTCGTATCCTACACGAACAAAGGCTCGACGTGTTCTGTGAGGTATGCACCGTCTGTACTTGATGTACCATCGCTGCTGTGGAGGACGAGGGATCCGGTCTTCCACTGCATCCGGCTCAGATTCTGATGATTCGTTAGATCTCGTTGCGGGGTGTCCGAGGAATGAGAAATCAAGGATGCGGGGAGGTATGATAGACAGGATGAGGACGAATGGAGATAACGACGGGAGCGAGAAGGCATTGGGCGATGGTGCCACAGGATGCACAACCGATATTGCTGTTCGAGGTGTAGGGCGTGATGTGGAATGTGCCTGGCCAGTTCTTTCCCAGTTCTCGGATAGATGATATTGATTGGTCGGATGGTGGGTAAGGGCGAGAAGTCAGCGAAAAAGTTAGTCTTTTCTTTTTTGCGTATGTCCACGTCCATGTCCATATCGGGGTACTGATTTTATTCAATTCGTCCTGCCCTGTTTCGTTCCATGGCGTTAGGCCCGAACCGAACCGAACCGAACCTCACCGGGAAAAGCAAAGAAGCAGACGCGATAGATCTAATTGTAAGCCAGAATTTCCAGCTTTCGGAAGCGACGAGGGGGGATGTATACTTTGCACCCGACGGCGAGGAAGACGACGTAGGTTTGGGCTCAGTTGTCTGAGTTCGTGCAGGTGCGTTTCTTCAACTGTCTGTCAATCCGTTTCCGTTGCATGGATTCTTGTGTCGGTGCGTGCGGATCCAGAGGCTGAGCTGGCGCTCTTTTCTGTTGTATGTTGGGGTGTGCGGATATGTCAGCCAGCGAGCTTCTGAGACTTCGCACAAGTAGCACTCAATCACGGTCATTTATCGCTGATCAACGCGTCCGAACTCATCAAATAACAAGCAGCCATTGTTACCTTTCCACTCACACCCGTAGTGGAAATTAAATCCTAGACTTCACCACGGAAATTACACGCGAGATGGCAATCGTAATACCGAACTAACTCCACCGCCGCCACCTCCACACCCCCTACAAGTTCCTCGCCGAAAAAAACCAAACTCCCTCGCAGGCGCATGGTCGGGAATAGATTTAGCGGAGCGAGGGGCATGAATAAGCCTAGGAGAAGAGCTTGACATGGTATTGTCTCTTGTGAGACTTTGCTAATATTGAGGGAGAGATAGTGAGACGGCTTGAGGGGCTGACAACGAGGTTGGATGCGGACAGCGTCACGACGGTTGTGGGGGTGAAAAGCGTGGCTATTGTGTGCCGATTCGGATGTAGGAACGGAAATGGTTTTGTAAGAGTGAGATCATTGTCCTTGTAGATACAGAGGTAGGTGTGTTAATTCGAGGAAATCCAGCTGTCATAGCATATAATTGCTGCAAATCATGAAAAGAGTTCAGCAGTGTATACACAGTAACTCCTGTGGTGTCATCGTACATAGTGTGGAACCAAAAAATAGGAAACAGACACACATCAGTGTAACGAGACAAAGCAAGCCGCCAAGGTGAGAGCCCAGATGACGGAAGACCATCACGTGGAGAGTGGAATAACCTAGTCTATTGCGCGGTGTGCTAGCGAATTCAGATAAACCAACGTCAATATCCCGCTATTCGGAGATGTAGTCGACGAGATCACGCTTACTATGTCCTGGAAGGGTTATACTTCGAGCCTGTCAATCTGGCTGTTGAGAATCGAGCTAGTTGCAGCTCGACGTTGCGAGACGTTTCGAATCTCGATACGTTTCGGTATTCAGTCTGAGTCAGCGGCGCAGCCGCATGTTGTTATTCCTTGCCCTTACAGGCAAGTGGAGCAGGTTTATAGTATTTTGTAGAATATTCTAGATGTACTGTACAAGTAGTATAAATTGTGCAATAGACCTTATATGTTACGAGTTTTCTGGAAATTTTTCAATCCAGATCAGTACAAACTCAGCTCAAAACATGGTGATTTCCAGTACTAAATGCCCGGTGGCGCAAGAAATTTCTTTCTTCGTGATTGGCCAAGCGCGCTCCACGCCCGCCATTACGCCGAAGTAACTTGGAACGGCGACGGGATAGTCAATCCAAAAAAAGCTCCACTTGGTTCAAGACCAATACAAGGTCAGTACAAAAAGAGGTCGAGTTTTTCACTAACATATAAGGTCTAATACATGTCTCGTCGTAGGGCATCGGATTGCCCTAACGCGAGTCGTTCTCACCAACCAGCGCGATTGCAATCCCTCGTCCATTTTCCTCTGATTTTTCGTGCTTTTTCACTCTCGCTCACGAAAATCCAACACTGGCTCTCAGATCCACAGAGATCTCCTACCCACGCAAGCACGCTAATTCAATATTATCCCTTCGGAAGCGAGAATTGCACTCGGACTCGCCAAGGACGGGCAACCGAAACAAAATACTGCTCCAACAGTGATCCATTCCGAGCTGATCGACTTCTGAAGCGCATCTTCCTCGCCGCCTGAGAGGCCGAATAAGCCCGCGCCTCAGGGAACCCACCCCTCACCGCCAGTGAGGCCCTATACCCAGCATCATCCATCATTCCCAGCTGCAACGTCTCTCTTCCCTACAGCAGCGTTGAAAACAGTGTCGGTAATCGCGACTACACAATCGACATGGAAGTATATCTTTGGTCCTTTGAGCGCGATCTTGATAATATCGGTGTTGAGATCGTTGCCGACGAGTAGGTTGGCGAGTTGGGATGCGAGGGTATCGAGTGGTCCTGATCGTGGAATACCAAAGATGCGTTCGCGGCCGGGGGATCGTTGGATGGAGGATGCGAAGCCTGATACGAGGATGTCGAATGTTCTACACGCGAGCGAGTGGCATGCTGGTCGTCAGCAAACCCAACATCCAATAACTCAGACACAAGATGCGGAAATCTACCTTGGCGTACAGTCAAACGTAAGATAGCCAGCATCGTCATCAACGCGTCCCCAGCTCGGAACACGTCCGAGTCTACGAGAGCCTGAGATAGTCGACATTATTTGGTGGGCCGAAAACTCTTGTACGGGACAGGACGTCGATGGCAGAGTTGCGGGAGGGCCCGAAGATAATGGCTTTGGCGGCGAGGGGGTCCAAGAACGGAGATATTGGTAAGCAGGTTCGCCAAACCTAGGGAAATCCAGATTAGGATTTCCCCAAGTAAACCAATATTACGGCAATATCGTTATGCATAGGAAGATCTGGCGCTGCTGTCAGGAACACTGCCTAGGTTCGGATATCCGACTGTTTCCTGGATTTTCCTAGGTTTGGCGAAGCAGCCCCCGATGTACGAAGGGCGCGCAGTCACGCTGTGCCGTGTTTTCAACTTCGACGGTTGCTTTACAGTCTGTCCGCCTGGATGACTTCTTAAAGAGCGACGACGAAGCACGTCATCGGTCTCCATCTACGCTTCGCCAAAATACGCGTTAAGTACCTCGAGATCTGTACAGAGCTGGCCGCTAGATGGACGAGGATGTAGGATTAGTTCAAGTGAATAAGCAATGAGGGAGGGCCGTAGGAGAGGGTGGAAGTG